CTATATATATATATATATATATATATATATACACTCCCCTCCTCCCTCTCCCTCTGACGGTGCACATTTTTGTTTCCCTCTTTTCTATTTATGAGGATGATATTATTTTGAAGCTTATTTTTTAAATATATATATATATAGAGTTTAACAGAAACTGTAATACAGGCTATTATTAAAGCTTTCATTCGGGTATTTATAATTTTTGGTAAGAGCAACATTATCCATAAGATGTTAAAATTTTCTCTTATGATTAGTTTATTAGTATATTTGAAAAAGTTAAAGGTAAGAGTTGTATTTTGGTTTTTGGTTTTGAGAAGTGATTATTGGTAGTCTGTTAATTTGGGGTTCTTAGGAAAAAAGAAAATATTTAAAAATTAAATTAAAATTTGGAATTTTTGAAAATACATAATATACAAATTAAAAGATATAGTTATTGAAAATTTAAAATTTCACATATATATATATATATATATATATAACAACTTCTTTTTCTTCTCTTTCTCTCGCTCATAGTAAAGACTTTAAACTCAAGCCTCTCACATTATGACTATCTTCACGAGATATCACACCCATAGGATTGTATTATGTGTTTTATTGTCGCTCTTCTTTGTACAATGTGTTTGTATCTCCATATTAACCTTGCAGAAAAACACAGAACAATGTGTTAGAAAAGACTGAAATAATTATCAACAACACAAACAAACACATACACTAATCTAAACTGTATGAAATACACAGAATTTAAACACACAAACCTCAAACAATTCTTAATCTCATTCGCATAGTTTGTATAACATAAACAAATAGTCAAACCAAGTGTTAACAAAATCATTCGACCCCATAGATCATATGAAAAGAGAACTGAACTAATCTAATATCAAAAACAGAGAATTATAACACATAAATCTAAAAGAATTTTTTACCTCATTCGCATAGTACTTATAAATGACACAAACCAGACACAAACAATGTTTTACAAGCATCTTGCATCACCTAAAATCACAGCAAAGTGTAAATCGAAACACTCATCAACACAAACCATCGAAATAAAACTATCTACACAAATAATCAGATTAAATCGGTGCCATTGGTGTAGACCCTTAACAAATCATGCCTAAGTATAAAGAGAAACACAATTAACCCCAATTTTACATCAACAAAATAAAATCCTAATTTCCCAAACCGATGAACCCTAAATTCTCAACATTCAAACAACATGATTTCGAACATCCAGAGAGAGAGATTCATACCATAACTTACCGATTTGAGAAGGATTGGAACAAATCGGAGCCAACAATTTCCGGTACTCCTCGCCGCCTTTTTCTCACACCACTTGTTGATTTCAGCATCTCCTCCTCCCGTGGAACTCCCGCAACGCTGGAGGTCGTGATATCTCTCAGATTGGTCGGCCGGACGACATCTACGGCGGAAGATCGGAGATGAGCCGAATCGCCATCTTCATCGCCAAAAGGAAAAAAAACTTTGTTTTCACGAGAGTGAAATGAGGAGAAGACAGAACGCGAGAAGAGTTTTTTTTTTCCTTTCTTTTTCTTCTTCCACCAATAAAAAGCTGGAACATGTCCGTCTCTTATCACAGTTTACGTATCTTAAACAAGCGACGTATGTTATGCTAAATGATGATTAAACATTTAATTTTAATCATAAAAAAATTAAAAATCACCTAAGATACCACCGTTAATCCTGCTCTAACAACAACATCCCCTGCCTTTTCTTTTCGATTAATTTTGAGAGTTTTTTTATTTTTTTATTTTAATTAGCTCTTGTAATGAGTACTATTTTTGTCATCTTTATAACATTTATTGTTTTCTTGGTTAACAGTTACTACTAGTAGATTCCACAAATAAGTTACTGTATTTTTTTTTTTTTTGAGTAAAACAGTTGTATTCACGATTTATTTTATACGGACAAAGAATAAAAAAACAAAAAAAAACAAGTGAGTAGGGGACTGTCCTCGCACGTGTGAGTGAGTAGGAAATGTCAGTTTTGAAGGTCAAGGAGTAACCGCGAACCTCGGCTGCATTACTGGCTCCTCCGCCCCCGCTGCTAATCACATTATTACCACTTACCTCCCTTTCCTAATCTCTCTTTTTCTTATTAATAATATAATAAAACTAAGGGGGGTGTATTGAACTGCATATTTTAGGAGATTTTAAAGTATTGTTAAAATTCCCTGTTATTCAATTAGTCATTTTTAAAAATCTTACGAAATCCTATGTTATTGAATCTGGAATTTATAGAAATCAGTTAAAATCATTCACAATCTCTTGTTATTCAATCAATAATTTATAAATTTCATTTTAAATATACTGTTATTCAAAATATCACAAATTTTCTTTTAAAAACTACTGAATGTGATTCTAGGAGACTTGTCTAACATTTTTAGTTAAAAGATATGACTGAGAAATCACACCTTTATAGGTGAAACTTTGAAGGATTTTAAAAAGGGGTATGAAACCAATTAAAAAAACAAATGATCGTAAACCATCTCTCTTCTATACTTTCTCTCTCACTCTCAAATATATTTGTTGCTCGGCCGATGAAAAAATGACGTCTTCTTCTTCAGCCTCTTCCAGCAGAGAAGAACCATGGGAGGAGAAATACAGACCGAACAAAGTAGTCGATATCGTTGGTAACGAAGACGCCGTCTCTGATCGCTTGTGACGGGAAGATGCCTAATCTTATCCTTGCGGTAAGTATTTGCTTTGATCTTTTTGTTGCATCTCTCTTTGATTTCAATCCTCGTTTGGGTTTTTGTGCCTTGTGTAGTTTTCACAAATTCAGGATTAATACTTATCAATTTTAGGGTTTTGATCAATGGAATTGTATTGATGGGTAAATTTCTTTACATATTGGATGTTGCTCTGTTCTAGCTTGATAATGGCCTTGCTGATTCCTTGGCTAAGGCTGCTACATTGTCTGTTTTTTTATCTTCTCAGCCGAGAGTGTAACTTTGTTATGTGTTTAAGTAATTTGATAAGTTGCCCAAAAAAAAAATCGGATGTTGTTCTATCTTCCTTCGTTTGTTGGTTTTATTCCTTTTCTCAGATTTTAATAATTTTCAGCTGATTCGATCAGTTTTATCGCTTTCTACTTTCATATTCGATAAATTTAAATCTCATTCAAACTTTAGAAATGAAGACATGATCATGTTAACAGACAGAGCTGGGAAAAAAAGGAACGAACTTTAAAAGATATAAAAAAGTGTCTCGCTTGTGAAATTGTTAGAAAAAGACTCAAAGGAGGACATCAATGGGAGCTCTGGTTGCTGGTGATGATGATGCAGCTACTTCATCTTCTGATCCAAACAATATAGCTTTGACTTCTGCTATGATTAGTTTAGTGACCAGCAACCCAGATCAAAGCTGCAGTCATCAACATGTAAAACACTGCGTCCCAGCTTATGGCAGAGATGTAACCAGTGAGTACTGGTTCAATCACAGCACCTATGGATCCTGTGTTATTGACTTATGGTGAGAGTGTAACTTTCTGTGCACCATCCTCTCAGCCGAGAGTGTAATAACTTTGTTTTGTCTTCCTTCGTTGTTGGTTTTAATGTGTTATTGTGCTCTGTTATGGTCCAAAATAAGATCAACATCGTTCGTTGTTGTATATTATATGCTGATCCTACATATACTGATATATACATATAGCAAATGTCCAAATAATCATAAATGGAGCTTGCCAACGGTGAGAAACATAATTTACTGCATTATTCTTAGCATTTTTAGTTTTAATGGTTAACCAAAATTACATGAACTACAACTTTTAACTCAATATACATACATAACATACACTTATGACATGACATGATGTCTTCTTTTCTAATTATTTTTTGGGTATGTGACTAATTAGTAGTTCTAGATCGCAAGCTTGTTTCGTTTAATCACGGTCGTGACTCTCGACATGCATATATTAAACCTTATACAGTTTTAGTGGGACTTAATAACAACACTGACATTGTTTATAAAATAAACGGTGAGTCAGACAGACTCTCCCAAAAGAATACTACTACAATAGAATTTGGATGCGTTAGCAGACACTACCAAAAACCATATCTATGAGGAGAGACTTCACATAAGTCATGACAGATGAGCTTTGTCATCATCGTCTTATAAGATACAGACGTCGTCGAGTTCAAATGTTAATCTTCTTGACGTATGACTTCATATACAAGTTCTATCTCTCTTTTTTTTTTTTTTAAGTTATCAATGTTAAATTATCCATAAGTATCCTAAAGTCACTTTAAATTTAATAATCAAATCTCACCAAATCACAAGTTATTTTTTTTTTAATTCTCTAACAAATAACCCAACATTGTACAATCTTCACTCAAATCTCTCAAAATTCTAAAATATTAAAATCTCACCAAATCTCCTAAAATATGCAGTTCAATACACCCCCTAAACTCATTTGTCTTAACTTTTTTTTTTTTAAAAACAAATACAGTATCTATCCATCATAAATGAAGTAGGACGTGGAATCGACGAAGAACCGGCAAAATTATTAAATACTACTATTATTATATAAATTGTGTTTATGATGTTATCAGTGGGCCATTAATTTTTTAATTGTCTGCATTTAAGACCCCTATTTATGACACAATATAATTTATGTACAGTATTCGCTTTGATTTGGTCCATGAAACAAATATGTTTGTTGATAACCCCCTCCTTCTTCTTCTTCTTCTTCTTTTTTCTTTATTACATTTCCTTTTCTTCAGCAAAAAGAAAATATATTCAATTCCTTTTTACCAAGCTACAAAAACCTGACCATTTGATCATCATCTTCTGCCACCGGATACAAGTATCGTGGGCTCAGGCCCAACTATCTTGCCTCAAACCCTTTTCAATTATCTAGTCCATTTCTTTTCTTTTTTTTTTTTGGAATTTTTCATTTTGTTTCACCTTTTTACATCGCCGGCAGTAAAAGCATCAGATGAAGTCCATTTATGGTAGTCGACTTTGCCGAGAATTGTCCATCCTGCGGAGCCACCCACTCTGTGGACCGAAGAAGCTACAGATCCTCTCAACGTACCCATAAGTATTGTCAACACCATTATTGAACCACACATCATTTTTCCGAAAGGATATTTCGGCCCATGTAAAAGCCCAAGTAATGGTATCTGTAAAAGGATTATAGTTGGAGCCGTACATCCAAACAGAGCTCCGCGTTCCTTATCCCGAACAATTTGGTCTTCATCGTCTCCCTCCCTTTCAATTACATTGACGAACGAAAGAAAGGTTTTCTTAAGAGTTTAGTGACTACTTCTCACTTGTACGGCTACTGCCATGGCGGCTTCATTCTCGGGCTCCACTGCTCCCACGGCACCGGTTCTTCGATTCAGAGCGAACTACTCCAAGTCTCTCCTCTCTCTCCCAGGTACGGCCTCTATCGCTTCCTCACTGTCAGTCCGCTCTCATTTATTTGGCTCGCTAATATTCTCTTTATGCCTTGGTAGATTCGTGTTTGAGGATAATCGCTTCAGCGAGATCTCCCTCTGCTCGCTTATTCGCGTGTTCGTTAAAGACCGACAAGCTTCGCCTCGGTGCGGGCCTCAATCTCTCCGGTGGCCCCGTTGTCAAGCGTTCTCTACAGAAGAGGCAGGCTCCAATAATTTTGTGTAACACAAATGTGGCGAATTCGTTTTTGATGTTTGGTTTATAGTTACATCTCTGTATGTTATCGTTTGTTTGTGAATTCTAGATTGGTGATAAGGTCTGCAACTATTGAAGAAATAGAAGCCGAGAAGTCTGCAATTGAGAATGATGCTGTATGTATTTCACAACTTGTATTTTTTTTTGTTTATTCTTTAGTCTGTGGGATCGAGGAATCTCTTTAGATATGATTCTGGTTTCTGTTTTTGGTGCAATCCAGAAATCAAAGATGGAGAAGACCATTGACACGCTTCGTACGAGTTTCAATTCCATAAGGACAGGGAGATCCAATGCAGCAATGCTTGACAAGATTGAGGTATAAGGTTCTGCATCCTATTTACAGCCATACTTTGGTTTCATATATTCAACTTTGCTGTATCGTCTTCGGTTTCCAGGTGGAGTACTACGGAAGTCCAGTAAGTCTGAAAAGCATTGCCCAAATCAGTACCCCGGATGGAAGTTCTCTTTTGCTACAGCCATATGACAAATCCAGGTACATGCCCAATGATGCGCTTTTGCTTCTCTGTTCATGTCTGCTTTCTCTTGGTAGCTTCATGATACATCCCAATGCTTTCATACCCTTCCAGCTTGAAGGCTATCGAGAAGGCCATCGTGAGTTCTGATCTTGGAGTCACTCCTAATAACGATGGAGATGTGATTCGTTTGTCCTTGCCTCCTCTCACATCGGAGAGAAGAAAGGTATCTCTTCCTGGCAAGCCTCATCTCTAATGATTTTCAATGTGCGGCCTTACCTTTTAATTGTACCGCTGCAGGAACTATCAAAGGTTGTAGCAAAACAGTCTGAAGAAGGAAAGGTCAGTACTAGTGCTTACCTCTCTTTATAATGGGGATATTCAATACTTTCTACAAAACTTAGTTGTGCATAATGATGTGCCTAAACCCTTCGTGTTCCTAATCTTAGCACATCTTTTTCGTATAGGTTGCATTGAGGAACATAAGGAGAGATGCCTTGAAATCTTATGATAAACTCGAGAAGGTTCCAAGAGATCTTTAGTTTTCTTTTCTTCTTCTTGTTGGCTATTCCTTGTGATCCTATTTGTTAAATTCGAGCTTCATTTGTGCAGGAGAAGAAGCTGTCAGAAGACAACGTGAAGGATTTGTCAAGTGATTTGCAGGTAAATAAACCACACAAGAGTTTGGTCTAAGAAAACAAAAAGGCGAGAACCAGAGAATTATTGATGGTTAAGTGTGACTGACAAAACTTTGATGTTATTGGTAATGGCAGAAACTAATTGATATATACATGAAGAAGATAGAGGAGCTGTACAAACAGAAAGAGAAGGTATCAGTCAGTTCAGTCAGTCTACTTTTGTCTTTGATCCATCCTATAGAGTTAGTAGCCATTAATCATTACCACACACATATATGAATCCACAGGAATTGATGAAGGTGTGACTATAATGGGTTGTAAGGAAGACGTTACTGAGAACCATCCGGTACAATCCTGCACTCCCAACTCCTTCTATTTACTTTTTTTTTTTGTTTTTGTCAATTGCTGAGGTCTGCTTTAGTTTCTATTACTTTTTTTCTCGGTTGGTTCTTGGGGTACAAGAAATCCTGTGGGAATTGAGAGCAACTTTGTCTAAGTGTATTTTCAGTTGCAAAAGATTAGAAGAAGCCTGATGTTTTGTTTCTGTGTTAAAAGAACCCTCTTTGTACAGCAAAACTCTTGTTAAGTTGGTTCATCACCAAATGATCACATCTTAGGGGTTTGGAGCTTAGAATTTAAAAAGTAAGCAATACAATAATAAAAGTATTATATAATTCCTTGTTTTTTTTTTTTTATATTATGATAAAGGACTAATAGGTTATCGGAGACAGTTCAAATGCATATTCTTATAGTTACAACTCTCTCCCCGCATTGAGAAATCCGTCAAACCCAAAATATGTTTTTTCTACCATTATTCTGTGCTTGCAAAAGCATCGAAAGTTGGATCAGTGGTTTAACAATTAATAAAGAATACGAAACATATTTGTCTATGTCGATTAATATTTGTATAGTTCACTTTTTTCATTTCTTTTTTTTCCCCTTCGTAGCTGGCGAATTTGACTTCTCTGAACCTAAACCCTACTAAAATCTAGAAAATTAATTGACCTTTTTGGTCGTCAGTTGAACAATATTATATATACAGATTTCTTTTTTTTTTTTTTTTTATGGAACATCACGATGAACATCAATGATACGAATCCTTTCTAATCATTCAAGTTGAAAAATTGTTACACGTTTACGTTTTCTTGTTACCTGTTGTAGAAAGCGGATGCTGAATTCGATTTTGGTCCAAAAATGAATTTCAGTTACAGTTTATATTGTACGTGGTTGTGACTTGTATGACATGCATGCATCAATATCAATATTTAATAGTCGTCTGTAATATACTATATAGTTTTTTAGTTGATGAATATTTCCTTAATATTAATAAGCGATCCCATTGCCCGAGGATTAAACCGATGATGAATATTTTAATTAAGTAGTAGGCCTTCATGGGAGGAGTATATTTTAAATTTGTTTGTTGGCACAGGTTAAATTAGAACTATATTACAAATTGTTATTATAGTAATCATTTTATTTGTTAATACAAAAGCATCGATATACAGTTGTAGAGAATGTCAAGTGGCTGGGATGTTGGATTCCTTACATCGGAACTCCAACGAGACTTTCGCGTTAATTTGTGCTTTACATATAAGATTTTTCTTTGTTTTCTTTTTGTAATTGATATAATAATAATAAAAGGGTAGGGGTCTCAAAACACATAATAAAAGCAGTTTAAAAGTAGTATCTAACTTAAAAAGCATGATTATATAGTAATTTACTACTTACATTTGATTCCCACTACATTTAACTTCATTTAAGGCACCGTTGGTCAGTCAACACTTTACGATTAAATAAAATAAAATACTCGTATAGTTGATTGATATACCATCATGTAGCTCTAGTCTCTAGAAGAAAAATATTTTATTTTATCATGCTATGTTTGTTTCATTTGCATTATCTTTGTCAATTATATATTTTATTCAAACGACTTCTTTTATTATTAAAAAAGTAATTTATGTGATAGAGTTACATTATTTTAATTTATAGCTCGTTTTGTAATATTTGTTAAAGTCATCTGGACCAATAATATTTAATAATAGTACAAGAAAAGAGTATGGGTAATTATATAGGGATTGCTTGTGGCGTGGCCAACGGTAATCTGAAGTCATCCTATATATGAGATAGCGAATCATGAGTCGGAACTTTATATTATAAGACACGGGGCAGTAAATGAAATATCATCATCAAACTGCCTGCTTCTCTAGTCTCTACTAGTTCATGTGGCTAAATCCATTTTTTGGGATTTCTTGTGACATAAGAATTGTTGCAATGGCAAGTCAGCTAAATTACTACTCATCTGATTATTTTGTTTAACATTCATGAAGCAATGCATAAACATATTAGCACAATAAATAAATGTCTTTGCATTTTACTTTTTTTTCTTTTTCTTTTCTAAGTATCTAAAATTATAATGTAGCTGTTTTTAGTTGCATATAAAGTATATATAACTAAAAAAAGAAAGAGAGATATTATTAAAAAAATTAATCGAGTTAAACTTTGTAATTGCGTGCGTGGGTGGAACGGAGCGCGCGTGGTTGGTTTACAGGCTGTTAACAATAATTTAAAATTACAAAATTTGATCTTTAAAAATGTGCACTATTGTTTTGATATATAATTTAGTAATACGGTCATGGAGTGAAATAATATTAAAAATACAGCCATGAACATATTATTATTTTACTGAAATGTTTTTGGGTGGGCACCAATAAATCATTAATTATATATATATGATGGACCTGTATCTAAATAAAAAAATGGGTAAAGTCATAGAATATATGAATATGATAATTAATAAATGTGTGACTAAACAACATTGAGCAGTGGCTTTATTCCATAAGAAAGTGACGTTTCTGCCATGCTGGCACCTCGAGATCTCGGCCATCCAATTTACGGGATGATCCAACGGCTTAGATTGAGACATTCCGTTCATTTGAAGATCTGAACCGTCTCTTACCTCCCTCCTCCTTTTTTCTTTTTTTCTTTTTAGGCAAAAAAAAGAAAATAAAAAAAATTGTAGGAGGGGAGGAGGAGACGACGAGACGAGATTACTGAAATATATTCATTCATACAGAAGAAAAGAAAGCATCAAAAGCTGTGGAGGAGTGAAAGTTTTTTTCTCAGTTGATGGGAGCTTATTTCTTGTAAGCTTGCATGAATGGATAAGACCAGAGAAGCTCGAAGACCAAGATCATCCATGGCGGCTTCTAATGGAGTAACAAGACGGAGACAGAGATTCTCAGGTATTGTTTCCTTCTCCTTCTCCTTCTTCTTCTTCTTTACTCCGTGATTTTCTCCCGATTTCCTGATGGGTTTTTGTTTTGCTCTTGTGTGTATCAGAGAATAGTCGTGAGCAGATGCATCCGGGGAAGAAAGAGCGAGACCCGGAATCGTTGGATCGGAGTAAGAGGAGACGAAGCGAGAGGTTCGCAACACGGAACGAGAGAGATGTTGAAGAAGATAGCTCGGATGAGAGTCTGGGAGACGACGATGTGCATCACAGGAAGAGCTTCCCGTCGGGTCGTATCCCCAGGCATGCGTCGTCTTTGAAAGTCGCCGATGGAATGATCGGCGTACCTGTCCCGAGAAAAGCTCGCTCAGGTTTGAGCTCAGTTGTTTTTTTTTCCTGATTAAACTTGCATTTTCGAGATCTCTTCGTAGGGGTTTCTGATTCAATTCTGGCGATTGCAGCATGTGTAAAGAGGTCGCATGACTGCCGGACTTCATCGGGAAGCGGTGGCGGAGGATTCGGAGAAGACCGGCGAAGACCTTCAACTTCTCAGGGGAACTATAGCTTCGAAGTTGTTTCACCGTCTTCTTCAACTGTTTCCGTCAAGCAGAAGAAGGTCCGTTTCCGTCACAGAAGTGGTTTCGGTGCGATGTTTGAATTTTGCTACTAGTAATTTCATTTTAAATCCGCAGATTGTAAACGGATCCAAATCCCGGATACCCAAGCCGCCTAAATCATCCGGCACGGTTGAGGACGACCTGGAGATCGAAATAGCAGAGGTTCTTTCGGGGTTGAAGAAGCAGCCTCATAGCTCTAAGAGACCAGACGATTCGGAGGTCAAAGGTATTTATTTATTACGCAAGCGGATACCTTATTAGCACTTCTCTAATCCAACAAATTTTTCTAAATGAATAAAACGCTGCCTCATTTGAAGGTGCCAAGAAGTTCAAAACGGAAGGTGATGATTCCTCGTCAGGTGTAGATATTATTGCCAGTAAAGCTCGATTCTGTGGCTCTTCCAACTTTGATAAATCGACCAACGGAACTAAGACATCGTCTCCGGTCTCCGATACTCACAAGGAGAAACAAACACCGACCATATTGGATTCCAAGGTCTCAAAAGGGTAAATGGATCAACATCAGTTTTAGATATTTTCCTCTCTCTCTCTCTCTTTCTTTTATAAATTAAAAATCCATTGTTTTGGAATTCTGATATCTGTTTTTCTATTTTTGGGTCTCCAGGGTTTCAGAGGGTCCACAATTGGAAAACAACAACAAAGATGAGAGTCACTTTAGTACTAGTATGCGCCATATTGATCTCATGGTGAGAAATCTAGTCCTTAATGATTTTTAGCTTTTAAATAATCTGAATGCTGCATATATCTATCTATATATATACTAAAGATCATTATTCTCCTGTCTATAGGTTCCTCCAACAATGCCCTCCTCGCCAGATACTGTTTCTCCTCTTCCATTCGTTTCTGATTATTGCAAGGCATGATTTAGATTTGAACAGCTTGTCTTGTTAAGCATCGCCCCACTTGGTAAATTTTTTTCTAAACACTGTCTTGCTCAATGCAGCGGGATAGTTCTGTAAAGAGCAAAGAAAAGATTATTCTCAAGAATGAGATGACTCCAGATCAAGTCCAACAGCATAAGATTGAGAAACACCAATGGCTGAATCTTGATTTAGAGAGACCTAACCAAGAGACCGGCAGAGATTCTAACCTGAGATTACAGAATTTTGATTGGAGCCAACCTCCGCAGGCTATATCTGGTAATCTACCTTGAATATGATTATGAGTTCTGGTTGCTAAAGTTTATGATTTTCTAGGATATACAAATTTACCTTGTCTGACTTATGCCTATCTCAATATCAGCTCAGCAGAGTCCGGTCTTACCTTTTCCGGTACCTGTAGGCAGCTGGCCTAGCGGGCTTCCTCCTCAGGCGTGAGTTCTGAAAGTCCTAACCTGTCTTACTTTCCTTTGTCCTATCGCTTTATGTTCAGACCCTTAAAAGAAAAAGAAAAAATATATATTTGCAGATATGTACCCCTGATCCAGACCGGTAAGCCTGTGGATGGGAGCAATGGATCTTCTACATTAGTGCAGGTATATTCTGTTCTAGTTGCATTTGTTCTTCATTTATGATGATCATGTTTCTTCTACCGATTAGGATCATGATTTGTTAATAATTGCAGGGTGCTCCTTTTTCTGCCTCTCAGCCTAGGCCTAAAAAGTGTGCCACACACTTTTTCATTGCCCGGAATATTCAGCTACATCAGCATTTCGTCAAAACAAACCATGTATCTACGCCAAATAAATGTACTGTATATCTTAGTGGTGGTGACTTGAGGCCAGCTGCTGGAAGCCCATCCTTGCAAGGAAGCTCTCCGATTATCAGTTTAAACTCCCAGGCACATGATGGAATCGCAGATAATAGTTCTACGCCCAAGGAGAAAACCTCTGAAAGAGTTTATTATGCCTCAACCAGACAAAAGAAGCCTCAACCATCCCCTGCACCAAGTAATATAGTGGTACGTACTTGCTTTTATCTTGCTATGAATATGTGTTTATTGCATTGGATTTTATTTAAAATGCAAAAATCTTATGTAGCCCTTTTTCCTCAATAAGTTCATTTTTCTCTCTTAACACAGCCTGCTCCAGCTTTCAACTTCCCAACAAATCATCATATGCAACCAGTCATGGTATCTTCTAAATTACCTGGCCCATCAAAGAGCCCACGTGTGGCAGTTGGTTCAACATCCGTCAACTTCAGTCATCAAAGTTCCTCAGCTAGCGAAACTTATTCTCCATACTTAACAGTTCTTCCAAACAATGCGTATTCTTTTCAATTGTCATCACCCATCAGAGGTGGGACTACAAGCCAAGCGTTACCTTACTTCAATGGGTCCTTTTATTCGCAACAGATGTTCCAACAACCTCCTCAGCTTATGCAGAGACAGAGTCCAGCCCAGAGGGAGTCAAAAGCATCACACTGTTCCTCGTCATCCCACAGGCAACCGCAACCGCTAGTTAGTGTGAATAGTCTTTCAGGCCAAGCTAAGGTTCAGCAACACCGTCAACAGTCACAAAAGTCTGAAGTTAAATCAGCTGGAGATAGCTCTGATTTAAGGGGTAGCCACAATCTGAAAGGAGGCCCAAATGGTCAGATCATGACAGGCCCTGGTCAGCCACAAAAGTTTTCCATGTCGTTTGCGTCTTTTGCAACCGGTGCTACCCCTGCAAATCTGAATTTCTCATCCAATGGCTACCACATAATCTCTACACCTTCTGGTGCTCACCAGAAAAACCATCAAGCAAGTGACTCAAAGATTGGAGGTGTAAGCTGTTTAAGCAATGCCGAAGACCTGAAAAAGACTCTTCCTGGGAAGGTTCCAGCGATGATGAATGGACAGACGCTGGTTTTTGACAATCCATCGAGAACCCTCAACTTTGTTTCTGGTACTTGGCCTCCTACTTCAGCAAGGACAATAAATGGGGACCCTTCAGTGTTTACCCAGCATCATTCGCAGAGGCAGCAGCAATCTGGTCGGAGTAAAATGATGAGTCATTCGCAGGCTGACTCTGTTTCTGCCACGTCATCCCAGTGGAAAAACCCAGCAACCTCATCACTCACGTCGTGTAATCTCAAGCAGTTCCAGTCTCAGCAGCAGATAAAAACACATGGACAGACTCAGATTTCTTTTGCTGCACCATTAAAGTCGCAATATTCTCAGGAGCAACATGGGAGATCTGGTAGTTCTTCTTCAGTCACCGGGTCTGCTTCGCATGGCAAAGCAGGAAACCCTAAGGTCAGCAATAGCAAACTCTTGCCATTATCACCTGTTCCTTCTTCTCCTGCACACGCACAGGAACAGACGGATAATTCAGCTTCCGGGTCGACCAAGAATACTTCTCCCGTATGTGGAAGGACCGTGCCACCAGTTATAACTTCATGCCCGGGTCATATATCTGAGCTCAAGTACTAGTAGTTTTCATCGAAGCAGACGTATAAAGCCACAATTTTTGCAGTGTCTAGCTTCGAATTTAGGCTATTCCCAGATGAGGTGATACCTTAATGGTTAGTAAAAGCACCGCTTCTCCAGGGAGTGAAAGCTTTTGGGTCAGTATCTAATTTGTTAAATGTTTTATGGGGTTTAAATTATGTCAGTAGACTCTTAGTGTAGATATTTAGACTAACAAAAAACCATTCCCCATTTTAATTTATTTCAAATACATTCCTCAACATTAATGTCGTATAGAGAATCCGATAAGAAAGATAGCAAAGATTAGTTTTCCTCTTCTTATGAACTAGTTGTCAACCAGTTGTCAATGTGCTAGAGAAGCCACATTGTCAAGAAAATCTTCCCTGGCTTTCTTATCAAACGGGTCTTCACCAATGTACAAGTCTAAGATCGACTTACACAAGAGTTGGCTCTTCACACTCCCGACATGGTCTCCCTCAACTGAAAAACAAAGAAAGGTAAAACGGTAAGTCTTGGAATCTCTGAGAAAGAATAAAATTCAGAAGCGAAAAGGTAGATAGAATATCTTACTTGCAACGCTGAGGACATGGCCTGGTTCTTTTGTCAGATCAATAGTGGAGTTTCTTGGAATCTTATACTCATCTTTGAAGAGGCTAGTGAAGCTACAAGTGATATATCAAAGTAAACAAAAAAAATCAGCAGCGAAAACACAAAATCCGCAATATGAAGAGGTGTAAAGATGATTGATAATAATGATGGCAAAACGAAGAAGTAATACCTAAGAAGCAACTGGTCGTTGTCCAAGCCACCGAACTTGTTGAGTCTGTTTCCGACGGATTCTTGAAAAGCATTGCGCACGGAGCGGATGTTGAGTTTGCCGTAGACAATCTGCAGCCTTATAGTCATCTTGATATCGGCTTCCATGAGATCATCCATGAAGGCCTTGTTCCCCCTAATCTCCGAAGCTGGGAGATTTGCGTATTTCTCACCCACAAGCTTCTTCACATCATCACAATCAGCATACACGCCTGCTCCATCCCAGAAAAGCTCATCAATCGAATAATTAATATAATAACTCCGCTGGAAACATAACTCTACCAATCCGAATTATATATTTTTCATTTTGGGAAAAGTGCAAATCGCAGAAGCGAATTTATCCGGAAAATAAGAGATTAGAAGGAATAAAATATACCGAAGGCGTAGACATCGATGTTCTTTAATCCCAGTAAGCTCTTCTTCCTCAGGCCGACGCCGAGCAATCGCCGGGAATCTCCGATTGAAGCGGGAAACGAGAAACCGGTCTTGGGTTCAACAACGGATTCGGAGGTAGAGTCGGCTAGAGTTATAGATCCCCATGGTAACAGGGACGAACGGTGAGAGGAGGAGGCCCATTCCAGAAACGGATGCTTGGGATTACGAGAAGCCGCGATCGCAGCTCCGGCGGCTGCTGCAGCGCCAACTGTGACAGCGGAAATGGAGAAGGCAGAGAATGACGTGGCACGCGGGGGCTGAGAAAACGAGAAAGGGAACCGAAACGAAACCATCGTCTTGGTGTGAGTGTTGTTGAGTGGGAGTGTTGTTGTTTACTTCACTAAAACTCTTTTTTGTTACGCATTGAAAACACGCCATTGATATGATTCAGCGACAATAACTGCTGCTTTTAATTGACACGTGTATTGCACGTGACCCACCGACCTCGTGAAGTCTTCTTCCGGACAGGCTCTGTTCTGGGCCTTCCTCGTTTACTAAAAAGGCTTTCACTATACGCTATTTGGGCGTTTGATCACTTTTTAAAATAGCCGGCCGACGATACTTTTCCCCCGCTTTTATTTTTGACAGATGTTATTAGATATTAACACTTTATCATCACGAGTTAGACAATCAGCGTGTGTAACCTTGTTAAAATAAAAAAAACATATTTAAGAATATATAGTAAGATTCCCTTGCTAAAAATAAAAATATCTGGAAAAAGGAAAAAGGCAAGGGTAGAAATGGAAAGAGTTAACTTTTCTTTTTTTCTTTATCAAAAACCAAAAATAGAAGATTTGGAGGATCATATATATGTCCACACTATTGGGCGTCGTCTTATCTTCCTTGAACGACTGAGGTTCATTTAGATAATTGGCGTCAACTAAACTTATCTTTTCCATGACACCAAAATTTGTTTTCTAGCAAGAAGCCCCGATTCAGCCCATTTAAGGCCCAATAAGTAAGGAATCTATCCTCCGAATCGACGGTCAGAAACGCAACCACACGAGATATTTTGAAAATTCTATCGCTGCTTTTTCTTCTTTTTAAAGCAGTAGGAGATAAATAAGTCTGAAGACGAACGGGTGCTTTTGAGTGAAGAAGAAGAAGAAGAAGAAGAAGAGATGGAGAAGTCAGGAGAAGCGCATTTCCCAAAACTGGAGAAACCTACAGGCAAGAAACAGACAGCAACGGTCGTGGTGGGAGTGTTGGCGGTGGGATGGTTGGCGATAGAGCTCGTGTTTAAGCCACTCTTCAAGAAGCTCAGCTCATCAAAGGACAAATCCGATTCCGACGATACCACCACCGTTCCTCCCCCGTCGGGCGCCTGAATTTCGTGACAATTATATATTTATAAGAAAAAAAAATAAAAATAAGAGTGAAGCCTCTTATTCGGGGTGAGAAACGTGGAGAGGTCTTTACTTATTAGTTTTCTACTTCTCTTTGTGAATTTCTTTCCTTGCTGCTTCTTATCGTTCCCCTCTGTTTTACTGCTTTTGATCGATGTGTTTTGTTTTACTGCTTTTTCCTCTTTTTAATAATAATTTTAAAAAAATGAGGATAATGTAGATTAATGAGATACGGAGACGATGTACTCTCAACTGGTTTCATTTTTTCCTCATTACCTTTGTCTTGTTGTTGGTAATAATTTAATTCGTCACTTCGAATTCTTTAACCATACAACACTTTCGAATTAGTTTTACTTAACCCAATTTTAGACGATATTTAAGTTAAACAATTATTCCCATTATGAAATGACATTAGTGTATATAGCATAAATGAAAAACTAAACAGTTCAATTTGGTTTTAACCTTAATTTAATGACGGTTTACAAAAAAAAATTTAATGACAATAATATTTGGTAAAGTGATTTACCAGAAAGAAATAATATTTCGGTAAAGTGATTTACCAGAAAGAAATAATATTTCTGTAGATTTTCCTAATTTGGTAATCTTTTAAAAATATACTAGGGATGGACCCGCACATACGTGCTGGGTTGATTTCGAAAGTTTGTATTACATACGTGCGTGCAGGGTTGATTTCAATATATTACATATGTGCAAGATTAAGTTTGTAAACGTATTTTTAAGTAATGTTATTTAATTCATAATCAGAAGAATTCATATCAGTTTCATGTCGTTTTTAATTCGAGTTAGATAAAGAAATTATCAGATTTGTTTTCGTTAAGTTAAGAACATTACATAAAAGAAAAATAGTAAAACAAAAAGTCACAATAAGATGATTATTTTATAACCGTAATGTCCCATCTCATCTATATCATGTTTTCCATCTTATAATCGTGGTTTTAAAACTCATTTGAGATTATATATTTTAGTCTAACATATAAAAGAATAGGTAAGAGTTTCGGAGCCACAAATACGTTTGCTTTGCTTTCTTCAAATTTTTGAATGTTTGAAATAATAATCGCTTTAGATCGACATGATAGCGGATCCGGATAAAGTGTAAACCGGATTAGTGATAATCTAGATTTCTATGTAAATCGTGAACTATCAAACCAGGTAAAAACAACCAAAAAAACACTAAAACTTCTTGAAACAAATGACCCAAATATAGTTGTCAAGCGAGTCAAACTCGTCCACTATGTCTGGCCTGCAACGAACTATAATATTTTAACCCGCCAAAACCCGTTCTTCGAAATTCGCATGAGTAAATAGTATATATGTATCTCCCTTAGTTGAATACGTGTTATCCAAAATTTATGCCTTGTATTTTACCAACATTACGTTAGACACTATTTTTTTTATTATTTTCCGAATTACCAGCGCTTTTCATGTACCCATTATTTCATCTTTCAATATTTAAAATAAATAGGAAATTTTAGCTATTTTAATTTCACGTTTCTGTATTGTACTCGTAAATTGATATTTGAAAGTCAAAATTGAATTTAATTATCCAAATTATCCAAATATTTCGAAGTATATAATGCTATGTTCAACTCTCGGTATTCCTCTATCTGTATAATACATTGAATGTACAGAGGTGGCTTTATAACTATCATACTATAGATATAATATATGTAGATGTAACTTAATAATTTTCATATTTAGTGTAAAATTTGAAATTTTTAAATTTTAGCTAGCCAAAAACAGTTTGTTATTTTTATGTCCAGTTCCATATTATTAAAAATAATTTTTAGTATTTAAATTACATCTTCCTACTATTTTACGTTATTTTTTTTTTAATTTGCAATATATATAATTTTATGTCTACACCCACTACATAATCAAAAAGATCATGTCATTATCATGGTTTGTGAGAACGAAAGAATCTTGTTCCATTTTAAATAATTTGTTTAAAAATCTAGTTTAATATGTAGATGTTATACACTCGATTTTGAATCATACAAAATATATTTCAATATGTAGATTTAATATAGATTGGTTTAGATTTTATTGTTAAGATTTTAATAAATGGAAATTTTAACCGATGAATCTACACTAATTAGTTAGTTTCCTAAATTATAGAATCGATCAATATTTTTATAATTAATAGGACATATTTTTACGGTTTGTTTCTCCACATTTATGGTTGACTTTTATTTCTAGTACGACATTATATAATTTCTTCGCAAGTACGAAATTCTTTAAGTTTAAGAGATTTTATGTGATATCGAATGTTTCTTCGTAAGATTTTAGATTTTTTTTAAAATTTATTGATTTATTTTCAGATTTTTAATTTAAACATTTTTTTGTTATCTTCTTAAAATTACATAGCTTATTTGATGATATAATAAAATATGTTGTATACTTTTTTCACATTTTATGCTATATAGAATTTTATCAGTCGCTTATTTTCTAATCTATCATATTTTTTTTTCCCAAACTATCATATTTATTTATCTTAAATATATAATCATTTTTATTACATTTCATTAATTATAATTTATTTTTTTCAAAAATATCTGAAAGTATATAATTAATATTACATCTGTTTCCATATGTTTAATTTTGAATTTAATTGTCCACTTTTTATGGTAACAAAATTAATATGATTTCCATAAATATAGATAGTTTTAGTTTTTTATTTTTTTAATTAAATATTTTTGCTGTCTTTTAGTGTGTTTGGCTACATGGTTGGGATTGTATATTTTGTAATATATTTTTTTCAAGTTTGTTTGGTAACACTTACAAAAAGTGATCCCCTTTTAATAGTATAGATACATCAAAAATAAGTTTTAATCATTATAATCAAAATTTTCTTAGAATCAGTTACAAAAACATATATCATCATGCATGGAATAATACATTATAAAATTTAGTTAAAAAACACTGTAAAATTTTAATAATCAAATCTATTAAAATTGATTTTTTTTAAATGCAAATTTAGAAATAAATAACAAGAAAATTGTCATATTTCACTAAATTAAATTAATGTATATATATATTAATAATTATTATTATATTTTTAAATAATAATTATTAGGATTAGATATTTACAATATATATATATATATATATATTATATTATTATTTTATCAAAATATATTTTAAATTACACTGGCTAATTTGGATGAGATAAATATATTGATTTATTAAATTACAATTTAGAGAGGTTTCACGGTATAATTGTTGTTGAAATGAAATGGAGGCCCGTTAGTAGAAATCTGTGATGGCGTAAATAAAATAATGAATAAAGCTTGCGGAGCACGTGTCGGGTCAACCCGAATTGATATATGGAGCATCCACGTCAGTTGAGGCCGGCAACATTCGTAGATCATCTTCATCATCAAATCATCTCATCTCCGATACACACTCAGTAATTGTCATTCGCTCATCCCTCTCTCTCTAATCTCTCCGACGATGCTGGGTGGATTCGCTGGTAAGTCCTCTGCCGGAGGCCGTACTCGCCTTAGAGTCGCCGTCGCTGGCGACAAAGGAACCGGTAAATCCAGCCTGATCTCTGCCGTCGCCTCCGAAACTTTCCCCGATAATGTCCCCCGCGTCCTTCCTCCGACCACTCTCCCTGCCGACGCTTTCCCTGACTATATTCCTATCACCATCGTCGATACTCCTTCCAGGTCTTCTTTCTTGCTTTCCCTTCTCTCTCTCTCTCTTCTTATAGATAACAAGTCCAAATTGTCAATGCTCGCAAAGTTATGATGAAACATCATCGCTCCTTCATTTTTTCTTGGATTCGAATTTGTAACTCCCCTGTACGCATGGTTTTTCCAATTCTACTGATATCTGTGGTGTTCTCTGCTATATTACTATTATTAGTATCGACAATAGGATTAAGCTCATTGAAGAGTTCAGGAAGGCTGATGTGGTCATTCTCACTTATGCTTGTGATCAGCCTTCTACTCTTGATCGCTTAACTTCTTATTGGCTCCCTGAGCTCCGCCGTTTAGAGGTTTGTCATTTACTGGTGAAACACTCTGATTTATGCATTCTTCTTCTTTATGTAATGTTTCAAATTATATTATTCATGTATATATCTAGATCAAAGCACCAGTGATTGTGGTTGGCTGCAAGCTTGATTTACGAGATGAACGATCTCCCGCCAGACTAGAGGATATTATGGCACCCATCATGAAGGAGTACCGAGAGATAGAAACCTGTATAGAGTGTTCTGCGTTGACCCTTATACAGGTATGTTCTTGGTTTTGTTTTCTGGAATAGTTTCTTATCTTTTGGCTAAGAGGAAAAATGTTGAAAAAGATACTAGCAACCTTTTGAAACAAATAATACTGAAAGGCCAGGCAAAACCATGCTCGCGATTGAGTTCTTTATGTGATTGAACCATGTTCAGACATATCGTTATTGTATGCTGCTAAAACATCCTGATTATTCTTTCTTTTTTTGTCAGGCCCCTGATGTTTTCTATTATGCATCGAAAGCAGTACTTCATCCAACATTTCCGTTGTTTGATCAAGAAAAACAGTGTTTAAAACCTCGCCTCCGCAGGGCAGTACAAAGAATATTCAACCTTTGCGATCATGATTTGGATGGTGTCCTTAATGATGCGGAGTTGAATGATTTTCAGGTTCGCTTTCTCTGTTAGACACTGATTATTGCATGGATGAAAGTTCCTCATCCTCTTATAAATTTGATGCTGCAAATTTGGTTAACAGGTAAATTGTTTTGGTGCCCCACTTGACTCTAATGAACTTAAGGTGGTTAAGAAAGTGGTAGAAGATAGGCAACCAGATGGAGTAACTAAACTTGGTCTTACACTTCCGGGTTTCCTTTCTCTTTTTACTCTATTCATCGAGAGAGGTCGCCCTGAGACAGCATGGGCTATCCTACGGAAATGTGGTTACAATGATTCTCTAGAACTCAACACCGAGTTACTACCCGTTCCAGCAAAGCAGTTTCCTGATCAGGTGTGTCTTGTTTTAGTTATTACTTAACTACAATTATATTTCTAAATTATTCTGTTACTTTAAGGATATGAGACACTGGCTGGCTGCTTTTAAATAATTTTTGCACTCTATACCTGTATTTCACTTGCAGAGCATCGAGCTAACAAACGAAGCTATGAACTTTCTGAGTGGAATCTTCCAGTTATATGATCTTGATAATGTGTGTATGATAATTTCTTCAATTAGATTTTGTTGCTCTCTATCATCTTAAAAGCTTATTATATTCTCAAGGAGCGGTAGTAGTTCTCTAATGCTTCTACGTTTTGCTACTATTTAGGATGGAGCGTTACAGCCAGCTGAGCAAGATGATTTGTTTCAAACAGCTCCAGATAGGTAATGTGCTGGTGATTACTTTTTGCGTGTTTTGTTTCGAATTCTTACCTCCGTAATCTATTGTTATCAACTGTTCCTCCAATGTATGTTTAGTGGATTAAGCTTCTTTCTTTTGAATTTTGCTTGCAAATGTCTTAAATGCTCTTGTACATGAATATATATTATCATAAGTTCATTTTCGTGTACAATCTGCTTATAATGATTTCAGTCCATGGATTGAGGCTCCTTATAAAGATGCTGCGGAGAAAACGTCAGACGGAAATTCGACAATCAACGGGTTTCTATCTGAGGTTTGTATGCTTGCTGTTGGGTTGACACCGTATTAGAATCAAGCTTTCATGGTCATCATGATCAATTATCATATTCAACATTCTTTACCATGTATAATTGTGCTGTGTTATATCTGTTAATGCAGTGGGCTTTAATGACTCTACTAGATCCTCGTAAAAGTTTGGCAAACCTGATATATATCGGTTACGGTCACGACCCAGCTTCAACGTTTTCTGTTACAAGGAAGAGATCACTGGATCGTAAGAAGCAGCGAACAGAAAGGAATGTGTTTCAGTGCTTTGTATTTGGCCCTAAAAAGTCTGGAAAGTCTGCACTTCTAGATTCTTTCTTAGGAAGGTATTCTAATCTTAACACCATCTTCAATTGTTTAATATTTCTATGGATTTACTTACTCCTGTCATATTCTCTAAGCTGTATTTCAACTCCAGGAAATTTTCGAACAGCTACAAGGCAACAATGGGTGAACGATATGCAGCAAATGTCATTGATCAGCCGGGGGTAAGTAGCAATAGCCTGAATTTTTTCAGATGTGTTTTTTTTTTTTTACTTTTCTAATTGGTTGGACACATTTCTCAGGGCACTAAGACAACCCTCATATTGCGGGAAATACCAGAGGACAGAGTTAAGAAGTTTCTAGCAAATAAGGAATCGTTAGCAGCATGTGATGTTGCTGTGGTTGTCTATGATAGGTTAGCCGAGAAATTCTTTGCAGCTTGTATTGTGTAGATGACAAGATCATAGACTTAGCAAGAAAAATATGATGTTTTCCAGTTCGGATGTATACTCATGGAAAAAAGCGAGAGAAATATTGATGGAGGTAGCAAGGAGGGGAGAAGAGAGCGGTTATGGGACCCCTTGTCTTCTTGTTGCGGCGAAAGATGATTTGGATCCATATCCAATGTCAGTGCAAGAGTCTGATAGGGTAAAAGCATCATCACTATTACCCTAATATTATTCTTTATGCTCTCGATATGATTGATGAAATATATAAGTCTGGATATACCAACAACAGGTTTGCATGGAATTGGGAATTGACGTCCCTGTGTCATTAAGCATGAAACTTGGGGAGCCAAATAGTCTATTCTCGAGAATCGTGAGTACAGCTGAGAACCCTCACTTGAGCATTCCAGAGACAGAGTCAGGCCGAAGAAGCAAGAACATCCGCCAACTTGTGAATAGCTCACTTCTATTTGTCTCAGGTTATTTATTCTTCACAAAGTCCATATTTCCTTGCTTAAGCGAAAGGATTGCTTTAATCATCCAAGCTTTACTATATGAAAATTGCAGTGGGTACAGCTGTTGGGTTTGCCGGATTGGCAGCTTACCGTGCGTATTCAGCAAGGAAGAATGCTTGAAGATTTGCATCTTCATTGAACCAAACCAAATAAGACTACACTACTTCTTTTTTTTTTTTTTTTTTTTTTGGCTTGGACGATTCATCTGCTTTGTATATCATAAAGGAAAATCCTCAATGTAGTTTTGGAGTTTATATATAGATTCTTTTGAATTTAATAAGTTCTAGTGTGAGATTTTTTGACTGGGGAATGTGGGATTAGATTGGATTCTTTTTTTTCCTCATTTTCGAGGAACCAACAAATCTGAACCTCTGCTTCCTTTTCCCGTTTTTCCTTAGTACTAAAATACAGTATAATGCACGCACATATTTCCTTATTATGCGCATACTAGTTTTTTTTTTTTTTTTTTTTGGTGTAACATAAAGACGTTATATTTTTTTGGTGAACGTTGTATAAACTAAAAAGACACAAAATGTGAACTTTTCATGTCACAATGATTTTTATATATATATTAAACAGGCTATGGCACTAGGCCCAACTAAAAGAATTAGAATAACTGGTTTTGTAACTCAATTGGCCCAATCTAGAAAATGGTAATGATATATAAATACAGATAATAGTCACATAAAACGCGAGATGTGAAGTGGACCGACCGTTAAATGTTTATCTTATACAATAGCCGTTCATATATCTATCTTCGGGTTCTGTGAAGATCAGAAGAGATTAAAAGAAGACAGAAGAGAGTGAGGAAAGGAAAAAATAAGAAATAATGGCGGCTTTATCATCGTCCTCTCTGTTTTTCTCCTCGAAAACAACTTCTCCGATCAACAATCTGCTGATCCCGCCATCTCTCCACCGCTTCTCTCTACCCTCTTCATCTTCCTCCTTTTCCTCTCTCTCTTCTTCTTCTTCTTCTTCTCTCTTCACATACTCTTTGAGGACTTCCCGAACGTCATCTCCTCAGAGGTTTACCGTTAAGGCCAGCTCCGTCGGTGAGAAGAAGAATGTACTTATAGTCAACACCAACAGCGGCGGTCATGCCGTGATCGGATTTTACTTCGCCAAAGAGCTTCTCTCCGCCGGACATGGCGTCACCATAATGACCGTCGGCGATGAATCTTCCGACAAGATGAAGAAACCTCCCTTCAGCCGATTCTCCGTAAGATTTGTGAATGTTCCCACTTTTTGTGAGTTTTTTCTGAATCCAGTTCCGACCAGATACAATCTTTCATCTGTCGACAGGAAATTGTCAGCGCCGGAGGAAAGACGGTGTGGGGGAACCCGGCTGATGTTGCCAATGTGATCGGAGGTCAAACGTTTGACGTTGTGCTTGACAACAATGGCAAGGATTTGGATACCGTTAGGTCTGCTTATTGATACCAGGAAAGATTGATTGATTCATCACATCCAATATATATATATATATATATATCCTTATGGACTTTTTTTCGGAACAGGCCAGTGGTGGATTGGGCTAAAAGCTCCGGCGTGAAGCAATTCTTGTTCATTAGCAGTGCCGGGATCTACAAGTCCACCGAAGAACCTCCTCACGTTGAAGGGGTAATTAACACAAACCATAACTTTCTCAATTCTCACCACTTATATGTCTCTCCTTCTCCAATGTGCAGGACGCTGTCAAAGCTGACGCAGGCCACGTGGGAGTGGAGAAGTACTTAGCCGAAACTTTTGGGAATTGGGCCTCGTTTAGACCTCAGTACATGATCGGCTCTGGCAACAACAAAGACTGCGAGGAATGGTTCTTTGACCGTAAGTCTCTCTGACCCGACCCAATGATTTCCACTCAAAGACAGACACAAGTAATGGTTAATTGTCTTCCCAGGGATTGTGAGGGACAGAGCAGTGCCAATCCCAGGATCAGGATTGCAGCTAACCAACATATCCCACGTGAGAGACTTGTCTTCGATGCTGACTTCTGCCGTCACCAACCCTGATGCTGCGTGCTGCAACATTTTCAACTGCGTTAGCGACAGAGCCGTCACTCTTGACGGTATGGCCAAGCTCTGTGCTGCTGCTGCTGGCAAAACGGTTGAGATCGTTCATTATGACCCTAAAGCCATTGGGGTTGACGCCAAGAAGGCTTTTCCATTCAGAAACATGGTAAACTAAACCCAATACAAGCTCTTCTCCTCCTTCATTGATTAGTTTTATAACCCTGGTATTGTATGGTCGCAGCATTTCTATGCTGAGCCTAGAGCTGCAAAGGAGATATTAGGGTGGGAAAGTAAAACGAATCTACCTGAAGATCTCAAGGAGAGATTTGAAGAGTATGTGAAGATTGGCAGAGATAAGAAAGAGATGAAGTTTGAGTTAGATGATAAGATCCTCGAAGCCCTCAAAGCTCCAGTGGCAGCTTGATCAAAGGCCATGACGTTTCTTCCTTTGTAACTTCTAATTCTACCCTGTGCTCTCGTTCTCTCTCTTTTTATCCAGCTTTATATGAGATGGACATGATTTCAGCCAGAAGATCATTAAAATTCATAATACATAAGAAAGCAACAACGATTCTGGTTTACGGAGAAGATAACAATTTCTTTCAAAGGGAAATAGATTTGAAGACAGTCTAAGATCCTCCTTACATACCTACTTCAAAACGTTTTATCATATAGAGAATTTAATCTGAACCTACCTAGATAGCGACAAGAGCATCATGCAACATTATCCTATTCCTCCTCTTGCTTGATTTTCAGACCTCCAAGCTTTGATTCCAGTTCATTGTCTTCTTCGCCTTCCTCTTCTTCGCTTTCATCTTCAAAATCTTCTCCTTCAGGATCATTATCGTCCAAAGGACCAAGCTTTTCCACAGAGTCCTTAAACATATCATTTACCTCGTCAATACCTTCCTCAGATATGAAGTTGCCATTAATGTTCAGAAGCTTCAAAGTATGTTTCTTCACAACAGTTTGTGCCAAGGCTCTTGCCCCAGCTCTTCGGATCATGTTGGTGCTCAAGTCAACTTCAACCAACTGATCATGACCTTCTACTGCCTTTGCGATTAAGATAGACCCTTCGTCTTTGAGTTCATTCTCAGATAAATTCAGCTTAGAAAGAGACTGTTTTGAGGCGATGCAAGCTGCCAACTTCCCAGTGGATTTGATAGTTATATCATTGCCAGCCAATTCTAGAACTTCAAGAGAAGGGGCAGACTTAAGTAGAGCTTCAGAAAGTGCTTCTGTTCCCTCATCCTCCAAGTTCAGGTAACTCATATAGATCTCAGTTAAATGAGTCAACACTGATAAAGTCTTGGCCAGGGAAATTCCACCTTCGACTCCAAACATGTTATCACGAAGATCAAGTTTCTTCAAGTGGCTACAGTGTTCGAGTGCTTCAGCTAGCGCAACACCACCTACTGAACCAATCCTTGTAGATGAACAGCGGAAGTCTTCCAAAGATGGACACTGCCTGACAATCTCAGCAATGGGAATAGCTCCTTCATCCCCTGTCATGTTGTTGTGGAACTGAAGAACCCTGATTTTGCCAGTAGAAGGAAGGAGCTCACGAACAGCTCGTGCAGCATCCTCTGAAATGCCATCATTCATCAGATAGAGCTCCTCTAAGTCATTCTGAGACTTGATGAGAGAACCAAAAGCTCGAATACCTTTTTCTCCCAAAGCATTGTCGGAGAGATCCAGATACCTTAGCTTGGAACCCTCCAACGCAGACGAAAACATATTCATGGCTTCAAGAGCTTCGGCCTCAGGTCGTCCTGCAACAACATCGGAGAGATCAACTTGGGTGAGCTGGTCCTTGATGGAAGACAAAACAGTGGCGGCAAATTTGGCAGCTTCGGAGCCAAAACTCCTGTTGCTGAAACGGATTTTGGTAAAGGAGTGGTGTGGGTCAGTCAAAGGCCTCAAAAGCTCGCGAGCCTCGTCTTCGTCAATAAAGGCTCTCCGGCCACAGGATATATCAAACAGGATGTCACCAGAGGGCTTGGCCAGAACATGAGAATCTTCCTGGGGACCTCGTTTGATGACTTCAAGCATGAGCTTACTGGATTCTTTGGCATAGACCTGAACGGCAGAAGAGCCATCACCATCAGGCTCGTTGTGGAAGTGTTTGTTGGCAGTGGCAAAAGCCAAGTCTTCAATACGCTTGGCGTCTTGCTCGGCCTCTTGGAGAGACAGGAGACCGTACTTTCTGGAGAAGATGGAAGGGGTGGTAATGTTCTTGGTCATGCGCTCGACGAGCATCAGGCGGGTACTCTTACTGGGTGGCCACATCTTGACTGACAAGACACGGTTCTGTGTGGGTTTCAATGAAAGATCCATGCTGGCTTGCTTCTCTGTGGATTCAATACATACCAGAGGAAAACATTACTCAATCTGACATTTCAAAAACAATGCAGATCCAATCGAAATCCTATACTAATAATCTAACTACATTTCTAGATGGTTAATAATACAAAAGAGCATTTTGCCTAATAAGAAGGTATATCCCTCAAAAATCTGTTATCGACATTTCTGGATAATAACCAACAGAGAAGGATACCTGCGGATCGAAATGGGTCTCTCTCTCTCTCTCCGCGACTACCTTACTCTGTTGCCAATAAAAAAAAAAGAAGAAGAAGAAGAAGAAGAAGAAGAGAGGTACAAAAATAAAAATAAAAAGGTGAATTTCAGAGAAGCGTGATTAAGAAGCAGAGTGAAAGAGAATCATTGATCCGCGTGACGATGATAATGGGAGGAGCCAATGATATGATTCCCTTCTTTTTCAAATTTCAAAATTCAATCTCTTTCTTCTAAACAACCCCAAAAAAAAAAAAAAAAAAAAACTCACGTTTGAGAGAGAGAGAGAGAGAGAGAGCCAAACCATGAAGATTAGGGTTTATTCTATTTTCGCAAATGACGATAAAGCCCCTACATAGCCCTAACCAGAGCATCCAATATGACACCCATATAAAAGCCCAATACTAGTAGCCTTTTAGAAAGCCCACTTATATCACTTGTTCAATCAATTAATAATACGTACCTACTGATAATAATAATAATATTTTTTTATTAATTAAGTTAGGTAAGATAAAAGACAGGCAAGGCAGAGATGATTGAGAGACGGTGGGCCACCGGCGCCAGCTGGACTCGCCGACGGTGAAAATGGTGTCGGCAGTCGAAGCCTCTCCCTCCTCTGTCCGTCTTTTATTGTTTGTTTCCTTTATTTTATTTATTTTTACACATAAAAATTAAAAAAAAAAAAAAAAAGGCAAATAATAATGGAAACTTTCCTTCTTCTTCTTCACAATTCTTCTTCGCGGCTTCTTTTAGCTTAGCTTCAGAGCAAACAATGGAGGGAGAAGCGCCGGGGATAGTTAGATAAGCGCAAGATCTGTCTTCTTCTTATGTCCGGAGCTTCTTCATTCTCCGCCATTCTCTACTCTAGTTGTTCAGGACTCTTAACTTCTTCCACTTATTTTCTCGTAAGTTCCTCTTCCACCCTAAATCCCATTTGTAGTGGATCCCAATTCTTGATTTATTTGGTAGGTATGAGAGAAATAGTGAAAGATTTGGGTTATATGTTAGTTAGTTCACCAACTTCATTTCATTGCTGTCAAGATTGGATCATTATTTCCAAGTTTCCATTTTTATGCAGAGAGAGAGAGAGATATGGAATCCCTCGCAACCGATCCAGGTTTCATTGATTCGGATGTGTACCTAAGATTAGGACTTATAGTAGAGGAGGGCAAACGATTGAAAAAGTCTCCCACAGTCCTCTCCCGTCTCGCTTCATCTCTTGAGAGATCCGTCTTGCTCTATGATGATGACATTGAATCGCCAGATTTGGAACACTCCGTCTTTGATGGCAAATCTCCCCCTGAGATCACCATTCCGCACTACTTGGATCGCATTTTCAACTACTCTTCCTGCAGCCCTTCCTGCTTTGTCATTGCTCATATCTACATCCATCAATTTCTCCACAGGACCCGAGCCCTTCTCAAACCCCTCAACGTCCACCGCCTTATCATTACCACTGTCATGCTAGCCGCTAAAGTCTTCGATGACAGGTTTCTTTTTTGTTTCTACCAAATTTGCTGATATATCCATTTGACTCCTTTTACTTTTCTCTTTCTATTGCTTAATTTCTCTTGACATTATAACTTTCATTTTACCAGAGACTAGTAGCACTAGCACTTCACTTGACAGGAAGAAACCAACTGTGACTTTTATAAGATTTGTGTCTGTTGATGCCACCACATAGATTCATTGATCTCTGGTGTTGTGCAGGTATTTCAACAATGCATACTACGCCAGAGTTGGGGGTGTGAGCACGAGAGAGTTAAACAGATTGGAGATGAACATGTTGTTTACCCTTGACTTCAAGCTTCATGTAGATCCTCAGACGTTTCACACTCACTGTTGCCAGTTAGAAAAGCACAACAGTGATGCGTTCCAAATCGAGTGGCCGATCAAAGAAGCATGTCGAGCCAACAAAGAGACTTGGCAGAAGCGGACACCCGACTCAGTCTGCTCTCAAACGACAGCACGCTGATCAGGAACTCAGGTCGCAAGAGTAAGATAGGATTTTCTGTTTTGGTAGTGTATGATTCTTTTGCAAGATTGTTTGATTCATTGTGACAATTTGTGTAGTAGAAAATCTTTTTAAAAAAAATTCTACGAATTCATACTTTAAGAGGTTGATATACAGTTTCCCTCGATACTGGTTAAATTAAATGGATCTCCATTTTACATCAAACGGCAACTATTCCCTCTGCTGCTGCAACTCACATTAACAACCGGAGGTTCTGCTGGGTTGCTGTTACAAGGAGCACCGTAGATCTTAGGTGTTGTATCAGCCGCCGCCACCTCAACATTACCACAAGAACCTGAACCACTGGCCCCTCCATCACCGCCTTTGCTACTCTTAGAGTCAGAGGACGTTGGTACAATCGGAGACGGTAAGTCCAGTGAGTGGTCGCTGCTAGGATCATCATGTGACTCCCTAAAAGTTATTTTAGTGACCCTCTTGTCGATGATCTCCATATGCTTGATCCCACGTGCGTTTCTATCAACCAAGTCCTGTAGATGTAATGTCTGGTCAAAGTTGCGGACATGGACCTGACGTTGGCAGGTTGAGGGCGTGGTGAGCGGAGGAGGAGTTGCCGTCGTTGAAATGTCTCGAGGAGATTCTGATTCTGGTTCCCACAAAAGCTCGGCTCTTTTGCCGGCTTTAGCTGCCATTGCGATAAGCACTTGTGGGTCGATCTCACTATTCACTTCTATCGTCCCCTCGTTTGCATTGACCTTTATTGAATGCACTCCTATTCATATATATAACTCCACCATTGCTAATTAGAATCAAATCCACTCAACTAGTTACTTCATATACGTATATGAGAAGGGTAAATATCATATACTGGTAATCACCTTCAACTTTTAGCATGGTTCGTTTTACCTTCCTCGCACATTCGGAGCAGCATTTGCGTTCCAGTTTCAGAACACGGGTCCGCTGTATTAAGAAAAGAAAAAAAATTTATACCATATAAAACAAAACAAAAATGATACGATCGTATGTGCTACTATGTAACAATCATCGTAAAACGTAAAATAAGGAACGAACACGGAGTGGGGAATGATCCGAAGGAGGATGATAACTTTCCATTCTTAGAAATAATAATTTGTATAAAGATAACACAAACGAAACAATGTTTCCTCTAGTATAGATTATTATTTATTTATAAAATAAAATAAAATGTATATTTGTTTTAACTTCTAAAATAAAAGAGCCGTGTTTCTTAGCTATGAATGAATTTCACGTTAAGTACAATTATGTATATATTAATATTATTTACATTTGATCTAATCTCAAATCTTTTAAAGCGCCCATATCTTCAAGATTTCCTTAGTGATCATGCGAAATAATAATTTCTTGCAAGATATCTAAAAACTATCAATCAAGCGTGCAGGCTTGGATTCTATTTCAATGGAAAACCAAAAAAAAAAAGGTTAAAAGTTGATTATGACACAAAAGAAAAGAACAAAAAATAATGTTACGACTTACGAGTGAGATTAAACCGTTAAATACATTAAAAAGTTTATCCCGAAATTGGATAGCTACGCAGTACGCTAGTTTCTCGTATGCATTTTCTATTATTGTCGTTATTATATTTTACTGGCACTACAGTTTCCATATTCCGGAGCAATAATATAAACAAAATCGCAGGTTTATATCTCTAACAAAACAATGTGCAAATGATTGCTGAAAGAGAGAGAGGTAACAGAAAAAGAAAAAAAAAAAGGTTAATGCGCAAAATAGGCGTGACTGCCTTATTGGTCGTATTTATTTACGTTTTTGTTTCTATCATGGTGGATTTTTGTTTTTTTGGTAAGTATCATGATGGATTAATATATATATTTTTGACAAACGTGGGTGATGGGTTAACATCAATCAATCATTAGCCTTCTTATCCCATTTATCTTTTTTCCAATTTCTTTGTATCTATCATTAACATTATTATAGGTATAAGTTAAACAAGTGAAAAAGCTGGTGGCCACGAGTTCAACCGAACGAGCTCGCACGCACACGTACACGCACATATCAATCATGTCATATACTACAAATTTGAAATTAAACAAGCATTAAGAAATAGCGATTTTCTTATATTTAAATGGTACCATTTTGTTGATTTAATTTACTTTGACGTATTCATTCTTTGTGTTGGAGCTCTGTGATGTAAATTGAGTAATCAAATTATATTTTTTCTAAAAAAATATAGAGAAATTTTCTGAAGTGTATTAATCAATCACCAGTTAACTGATAAGACAACAAAAAGCTATGATTTTAAAGGAAACGCATAATATAAGCTGGCCAGTTTAGTCCACCAATTTTGATTAAAACACTTATATCAATTAAATAATCTAGCATAAATAATATCATAAGAGTAGAATATTAAACTAATGTACTCAGAAAATATATTGGCAATGATGCTTATGGTCAGTGAAGAGTGACTAGAATTTAATCGGAGCTCTAAATAATGTATATAGTTACAAATTAGTTGAATTTATAAAAATGTAATCAGGGATATATTGTGTGTGATATTCCGTATTATTTGGGGTATATAGGACTGGAGGAATCAGATACGTAGATGGACGTGTAAGAGCATGCTCATTGCACACATTACCAAAGGCTCCCAAGAAGCAAAATTACATTCCAATAGCTACGACTTGTCGCTGTAAGAATAATCTTTTTAAAGGCCCTTTCTTTGGCCATTATATTTTCTTATCCCATGTGAATAAATTTATAATGTAAAAAATTTAAAATAAAATAAAAGAGTTTTCTTTTAGGTTTTTTTTGCCGTCTTGAGAGTTGAGATGATTATACGTAAGTGGGGAGAGTAATAAAGAGACGTTCCGGGGGGGTCTTTGGCCATTGCAGGTCGACAAACAATTTTGCCTCTCCGTTTCATTAATGGACGGTCCAATAGAACCTTTATATTATTCTACAAGAAACAAATAAAAAGACTCTCTGATAATATCAAAATATATAAGACATAGAATCACATCTGCATAACTTTTTCTTATGAATTTTAATAAAACTATAGGGCATATAGAATATATATATATATATATATGCATATATGCATATAGTATTTACTAGATCGATCATGAGGAATCATCATAACCTAATTCATTAAGTGTATTTAGTTTAATAATGTCAATTCATCCAAGTAAACTCATCGTCGAGTTCTTCACTGCGACTGCAAAAGACTATTACAAAAACAAAATTGACGGGAACCCATATTTTTCCATATATAGAATGCTTCTTAAAAATTTCTGCCTTACACAAATTAATCATAATTTTTTTATTTTTTTGAAATTTATAATAATTTTCCTAAAAAAAATAAAAGATATCGTATCTTAACTTCACATCAAACGTAATGGAAGTTTACATTTGATTGATACATTATCAATATATATCATCTGCACTGCAGGCGTATCAAATATTTGGTTATAGCCTAAATAAAAATAGAAGAGAATAAAGTTTAAAAAAAACAGGTTTTGACCAATAAAAAAGCGAGCCAACTTGTCCTATATATCATTCGTACAGTTTTCATTTTTCCAACTATGTGACCCTATATATATATATAAATCATATCATTCATGCAGAGTCACCTGAACATTTCATAAGTAGATATACAAGCCTACCAAACATTTCAAAATATATAGAAAACGTCTCAGAAGTTTATTATTCCAAAGCTGTAATATATCATCATGATCATGAAGATATCTATGGCTATGTGCAAACAGCCATTGCCTCCTTCGCCGGCGTTGGACTTCCCACCAGCACGATTTGGTCCCAGTAATATGCTAACTCTAAACCCGTACGGTCCAAAAGATAAAGTCGTGGTCATCATGGGTGCTACCGGAACAGGCAAGTCACGACTCTCCATCGATTTAGCCACACGTTTCCGGGCAGCTGAGATCATAAACTCCGACAAGATCCAAGTCCACCAAGGTCTAGACATTGTCACCAACAAGATCACGAGCGAGGAGAGCTGCGGGGTACCGCATCATCTCCTTGGCGTCTTGCCGCCTGAAGCCGACTTAACCGCCGCAAATTACCGTCACATGGCGAATGTCTCCATTGAATCCATCCTAAACCGTGGAAAGCTTCCAATCATCGTTGGAGGTTCAAACTCCTACGTGGAGGCTCTAGTGGACGACGAGGAAAACAAATTCAGGTCGAGATACGACTGTTGTTTTCTATGGGTGGACGTGGCACTTCCCGTTTTGCACGGGTTCGTGTCTGAGAGAGTTGACAAGATGGTGGAAAATGGAATGGTTGAGGAAGTAAGAGAAATTTTTGACTATTCCGATTCTAATTACTCGAGAGGGATCAAGAAAGCAATAGGGGTTCCAGAGTTTGACAAGTTTTTTAGGAATGAGAGGTTTTTGAACGCGGGAGACAGAGGAGAGCTTTTAAGGAAAGTGGTTGAAGAAATAAAGAGGAATACCTTTGGCTTAGCTTGTAAGCAAAGGGAAAAGATCGAACGGTTGAGAAAGGTAAAGAAGTGGTGCATTCAGAAATTGGACGCCACTCCGGTCTTCACAAAGCAGCGAAGGTCCAAGACGGATGCTGACGTGGCGTGGGAGAGGCTCGTGGCTGGACCAGGCACCATTGCCGTGTCGCGTTTTATGCTGGACATTGCCAGCCATCGACCGCTCGTGGAAGCTTCAACAGGGGTAGCGGCGGCCAGGGAACGTGAGATGTCGAGGTGTCTAGTGGCATGATCAGTACTAACCACGTAGGCTGGATTGGGAAATGTGGTTTGAGTTTAACGCCAATGGTTTATTGGTGATGATGACGTGGCAATGATGATCACAAAAATAAAAATATACAAGACTAGAGAGGATGAGTGGGGGGGATCGGAGGACAAAAAAATATATGACAATAAGCTAGAAAACAAAAAAAAGAAATATCTAGATATATGCATATCGTATATAGTATTGTCAGATACTGAAAATTTTGGCATAACTGTTATTCAGTATTATCATCGACTAGTTTTTGTTTTTGTATTTTTGGGTTTTGATGCAAGTGGGAATGCTATATTTGGAAAGTGAAGACCTATTACTCGGCTTGTAACCCATTTGATTTAAACAATATAAACGACTAATAAGCTAAGTGGGGCTTATTAATTATTTAAATATATATATAGATGGTACGATTTGTAGTTTATTATATATGCTAAAATATGCAATTATGTGATTTCTAAATAGGGAAATCTAAGCCAATATTAAAAAGATAAATAGGGAAACCTTGACTGCGGACACACACGTACATATGCATGAGCATGATGATAGAAAATAAATGTAAACCGGAAAATGTGAAAATACAAATGATATGAATATATGATCAAGAAAGCATAAAAATATTGCATAAAAATATGATCAAGAAAGCATAAATACATATATATATATATATATATGGTAAAGAATCTATAGTTGAAAATAAGAAGCAGGAATAATATATATAGGTTGAGTGGGAAGAAAAAAAAAGATAAGAAAAAGTTATATATATAATTAGTATGAAGGAAGGAAGGAAGGAAGTAGTATGCGCACATTCAATCATTAAAGCAACGACCGTACACCATTAATCAAACACACACACACACACAGAGAAGGCAGAAAGCCGTACAGAGAAGGCGTTGACCAACAAAAAAAAAAAGAAAAGAAGTTAGTGCAAATATATATTCGATTAATGCATGGTGTGACTTGAGTGATGAGTGCCCCCCACAGGCCATATATCAATCCTTTTTTTTTTTAATTTTAATAATACGTTCTTAATTGGAACCCATCCATTTTTGGTGTTTGTATTATTATTATTATTATTCTCTTTAAGCTAAAGTCCCGTACGCCTCCGTGTGCAATTAGCGTCTCTCAATCCTATTTTACTACTGTCCTCCTCTCTCCTCATTTTCAACCTTGTATGGATCTTATTATTACTTTTGGTATATTAAAAAAAAAACATACTCTAGATGTGATTAATGTGGTTTTGACAACAGATTATGAAACTAGAAAGAAGATATGCAAAATATGACCCCTAAATAAAACAATAGATATGGAACAAAGTACAAGAAGACAAATAACAACTTGCACCAACTACATTCCAAAAAAAATAAAAAATAAAAAAAGTTCGAGTAAAAGAATCACATCTTTTTGAGTTAATGCTCTTACAAATTTAAATTCTATCTATACTGGTTTGGTTTGGTCCCATCAATGCGACTTTTTTTTTTCAATATATAACAAAAAAAAAAAAAGTAAGATTCCATGAATCTCCTCCATCCTCCTTTGTTTAATTCTAGCTACTATTTTAATATCATCATCATCTCTTAGTTTCTTTTTTTGTTTGTTAGGATTATATTTTACTTTAGTCAATTGAAACTGTACTACATAGAATAGTTTTTGCCTGTTATTTGCTGTGAGTTGAAGTTAGTGTCCCAGAAAGTTTTTGCATGTTATTTGCTTGCTGGATGAGCTAGAGGAACTAGTAAGACTAATAGCTTACGGTGTAGTGTAAAGATGAGTATTTAGCTCTGTACTAGCTGACTCCGGGGAATGGACTTGGTAGGGAGAGCTCGCACCGTTTGCAGAATTTAGTTTGTGAGGTTTCATTCTAGGAAAGCTCATGAATGTGGTTAGATGAGCCACTCTCACATGATGCCGGGGACGTATGTGATCGAGAACTCTGTAAATTTCGCCGTTGACGGCTTAGTCTTGAACCTCCATTGAAAGGCTTCTAGTGCGTCTTTTGTTTGAGGATTGTGGCTTCTTCAATCTGTTCTCACTCTTCGTCTTCAGCTTGGCACTCCTGAAGAACACCTTTATCGTTATCACTTCGTCAAACTCCTCGTGTCTATGTTGAGTGGACGGACTGAGATCATTTTTATGAATTATGCTTTCATGTTTTTATCTTTTTTGCCATGGGACCATTTTTATAGGATTATAATCTATGATTGTAAAACCTAAATATTTTCATTTTTAATGAAATATTTACATTTTTAGCAAAAAAAAAAAAAAGAATAATGGATTCATTTATATTATGTCAACGAAACGATCACGATAGTAGTTAGTAGCTTACTCCAAAGTCCCCCATCCATCGGCCGTTTACTAAACGGGCCTGAAACAAACTTAGAAAATTTTGATCTATAATGGGCCTGAAACAAACTTAGAAAATTTTGATCTATAATGGGCCTACAATTATCTCAATGCTTTTGCAAATGGAATTACGAACTAGCGCGCGCAGAGCAGGGGTGATGTTCCACGTCAATGGTCTGCTCTGGTTGACTTTTGACTATTGTAATTCAGAACAACGTACTGAATTAAACTAAAACGGCGTTGACTTAAATTAGAAAAACCTTTTAATTTAATTATGACAACTAAAAGAAGAAGATATAACAAAGAGGGGAAGGTCTCGAAGACATGGCAGCAATACATATAGAGTTTAAGGAAAGGAAAGAGAATCAGCGAATGAGTCTGCCTCCACAGACGAAAGTGACGATGCAGGACTCATCCACAAACACTGTATAGTTATGAATTGGTTTTGCTAGCAATGGCGGAAGCCGAACCAGAAGGTCGCACACGCACTCGTTGTCCATTTGCTTCAACCACTTGCAGCACTCTTGTTGTGCATATGTCTCTGCTCTGTGTCTATGATGGTGGTGGTGGTGGTGGCGGCGGTGGCGCCGGCGGTGTCGATCGTGGCTGTTTTCGTCGTTGTTGTGGTGGTCCCCGTCATGTTCATGGTCGTGATCGTGGTCATTGTGATCACGGTCATGGTCATGTTCATTGTCATGGTTACGGTCATGGTCATCGTGATTGTGATCACGGTCATGGTCGTGGTCATCATCATGGTCGTGATCGTGGTCATCGTCATCATCATGGTCGTGATCGTGGTCGTCATCGTCATGATCGTGGTCGTGGTCATCGTCATCATCGTGGTCGTCGTCATGGTCATGGTCGTGGTCATGATCATGGTCATGGTCATGGTCACGGTCGTGGTGGTCATGGTCAGGAGGCGGGGGAGCGATGGGAGGAGGAGGTGGGGTAATGGGGGCAGGTGGCGGGACCGTGTTCATTGGGAGACGCGAGCAGGCGTAGTTAGCCAGGGCGTATTGAGATGCGCATAGTGGACGTGGTGGTGGGATCTGTATGACTCTCTGGCCTCGTGTGAGAGAGGAGAGAGCGAGAACCAGAGTAGCTGCAAGAAAAAGTGTATCCATGGAGAGAGTGTGTGAAGAGAGAGATCTTAGGTGTGTCTCTTTATATATAATTCAAAGTCTAAGCAAGGCACAAAGATGGTTGCAGAAGGATTTTAGGTGATATTGAGTTATCCATTTCATTTGCGTGACCTTGGTGTTAGGTTGCCTGTAGAGCTTTCTTTCAGGAGAGTGTTTCACTTTGGTACAACAACAGAACCTGTTCCATATTACACTACCAATTAATTTACTAAACTACAATTAATTGCTGCAACTCCATATGCGTGACGAAAGAAATGTAATGTAAAACTTGGATTGCTCAAAAGAAAACACATGCTCATCTGAAGAAGATAAACGATTTTAACTGTTGAATGTTGATATAACCTAATCTCTAAGATGATTCTTGATTAAGATCCGAAAAGATGATATATACTCAAAACCAGTCTATCCACCAATCTCTCAAAACAAAGACCGGTATGTGAATATGTATCATATTTGGTGGTCACTGAAACCGTTCTAACTGCGATCCACTCCTTGAGAGGGAGAGGAAACAAGCGATTGAATTCAAGACTGCGATTGAAACAGACGAATAACACTGATTTCTTTGCTCTAAATAACCAAAACTGACAAAGTTGATCATCCAACCTAACGGCCAAGAAGTAAGGCTAGATATAAAGGAAAAACAGAGGACAGCCCAGAGGGTTGAATGTTAGCTAGTCACAGAGACGCTCTATGGGCTCATTGCTTTCCGCTGCTAACAACAAGTCCCTATCTTTCTGAACTTGTTCCCTGTGTTGTTTCAGTCTATCTTTCCTTTCTTGCCATCCATCCTCCAATAACCTCAGGAACTTGTCCTTAATAGCAAGCAAAGGATCTCTATCAACAAGCTCATCGTCTTTATAAGCTTCTCTCAACACAGCAGTCTTGATCCCTCCTTTAAGTGACAAGTAGAAAATACCTGAATGGCGAGTGAAAACAGTCGAGAAGGCGTTTGAAAACCTGAATTCATCGCAGAACTTGCCAAGTGTAGGGACAGGGACCCTCTTCAGAAGAGACAGAGAGAGCAGTTCGTGGACAACACCAACAGTTCGTTTCTCCATTTCCTTGGAGGCTTGGTCTAAATGAGACACATCTTCGTATGGTGAAATGTAGTCTTGCTCTAACCAGTCCCTAGTCCACTCTCTCATCTCCTTCCTAAGGAAAAACCCGGACGGCAGCTTCACATTGAAATTGGGTCGAACCCGGACACCGGTTTTAAGGGTCTCGTCTTGTGCTCTCAGCTGAATCGTGGATTTGGCGAGATCAGGGTTCCAAGAGACGAGCTCGAGAAAGGACTTACCTTGTTCAGGTGAACCAATTAGCCTGAAATAATTAGGGTACTTAGGAACCAGTTTCACCAGAAAATCATTGGGGAATCCAAAATCTCGCTTGACATGAACAAGCTTATCCGCACAGATAACATGATCTTTGGCCATCATCAGCAATCTGCAGAGCTTGGAAACGAGCAAGGGCTCATTCTCCGCGTAAATCCTCTCTTCATCGACGAGGAAAGCCCTGAGACGAGGCGTGGGGCGGATGAACTGAACGGGCTCCGACTTGGGTTTGATCCGGTCGTAGTAAATCTCGAACAGACAAGGGTTCATATCAACGAAGCTCTTAGCTTTGAAAGTGAGGCGTAACCTCTCGCGGCGTTTCTCAAGGTATCTGAGAGGAATGACCTGACCAGGTTCGTTCAGCACTTCTTTCACCACCCGAGCACACTGCTTGTAACGCTTGTCTTTCTCGATTGCTTCGTCTAGCCTCGTGTCTTTCTTCCATACCACTTTCAAGCTCGAGATCCATCTTGTTTGACGCCCTATACTACCTTCCTCGGCTTTTTTCAGGGATTTCACGATTTCGTATAAAGAAATCCTTGTCAACACCATTCCTGATTCCGATTTCAGCCAAACAAAATTAGGGTTCTTCAGGTACTGAAACTCAGATGGACTTTAAACAAACCCCGGAAAACTCACGCGCGACAAAAGGAAGTTCCCACCACGCGCCTCATTCTTGTACATACATACATACATATTGGGATTTACGATCGAAGAAGATCTTCAACTTATATAATTTTTATACACAGCTAAAATTTGTTCTTACTAACATTTTTTATATATATATTACAAAACACTAACTACCGAACGAAAGTCAACAACTAAATGATGGTACGTACGTAGATTACGATCACAATACACATTACAGTATATTAATTAATTGAACCGTTTCAACAATTTACAGTTAGTTTGGAATAAGTGCACTAATTACAGATAAGCGCTCAAAGAAGCTATAAGATAGATAGGAATTGGTCAAGGAGCAGAGATTGATGATCGTGGCATGGATCAATCATGGGAGGAGAGAAGAAAGACAGCACATTTCCAGATGATGTAAAGACGAGCTCTTTGCTCTTTTATCTGCTTCGAACATCTTTCCCATGTCCTAACCTTGCCTACGCTACTACTCATGCATCTCAACACAACTCTCTCTGCAGCCATTTTGATCTTACTAGCTAGCTTCAAAGTAAAATAAAACTATTTGTGCTACTTCTTTCTCTTTTTTGTGCGTGTGTAGGTTTTGGCTGCTGGATAGATAGATTGCTTATATAGTACGTAGTACACATATTGCTGACTCGAACCCGATTCAAATAATTTGCCGGCAGATACTGTTAAGAGATAATTTGGTAGATAATATGATCATGCACATATACGAATTATAAAGATTACATTATTGAGTTGAATGAATTATATATGGAGATCGAGGACCTACATGTTTCTTTCTAAGTGTGAAGAAAAAGGCAATGATGCTTTAACCCGTTAGCTTCGCTTTTAAACTAAAAATCTTTTGTTTAGTATCTTTCACTGATTAAATGTTCAAACACACAATTTGGTATGGACCTTTTTCATTTGATTTTTTTTTTTTTTTGAACAATTCTTATCAGTTTTCAAATTTGATTTTGCGGTGAGGATATTGTCTGAACAGAAAATTTCTGTTCATGCACACATGAGGCGTAGTGATGGAGCTGGTGGGGGGGGGGGGTTATGTCTTGATGTGTTGGTTGGGAATGTGATGATGATTAACTATCTAATTTGGTTGTTACGACTTACGAGATGTGATTAACTTAATCATCTTCTTAATTAGTTATGGATTTGTTTAGAATGATAAGGTCGTTCAGTCCACCGCATCACTCGTTTAATGTGTCCTTTCACAATAAGCTTTCCATTTGAACCTTAGGGTATCAGTTATACTAAACAAAAAGGGTAGGTTTAGTTTCTAAATTCAGTTTTGTTAAAGAAGAAAAGTTTTTTTGAAAAAAAGAAAAAAGAAAGAAGAAGAAGAAGAAAAGTTTTTCACTATGCATCAACTAAAATAACGAAATGGCTACACTAAGGCTCATGAAGGTATCAAGTGTATGTTCGATTCGGATAAACGAAATTAATCCGAGAACTAAGTAGTAGAAAAACCAAAGAATAGCTACAAAACCCGAAAATTCATTATTTGCAGAAAATAAAAAAAATGTGGAGACGACATATCTTTAGTTACGATGACTAATTATTGATTTTATGGGATAGGTAGGTCGATTGATCACAAAATAAACACATCAAAATGATTAATGTGAATGATCGATATGTTGATCGATTAATCAATCAAAACAAAAAGCAAAAGAAACTGATTTGACAAGTAAGAAGAAGGATGAATGCACCAAAGAGTGGTCGGTCAAGCTCTCTCCTGCACGTACTCTCTCTTTCTTTAATTGTCTGCCACGTCTATCTCTATCGTTGTTCACAAAACAGAGCACGTGAGAATGATACGCCAATTACAACTGATACATTACCGATGGAAAAAGTTCTCACTTAAACACATGAGACATATATAAGTATTATCTGAACCATAAAGAAAAGAAAAAAAATAAAACAGACGAGCTCTAACAAATTCGAAGTTTAGAGTTTAGAAGTACTACGACAAAGCTATATTGATGTGCTTTTGAGTGAAAAACTGAGAATCATTAGTGTTTTGTTAACTTGCTGGTTGTTAAATTATCTTTAACACTTGCATATAATCTTGTTTATCTGTTGGGTGGTTTACATATTTGTACGTCCTGATATATTTACTGGAGACAGCTTTGAACAAATTTCTACATAAGAGATGAGTCATTTACACAAAAGATGAATACTATGCCCAGAAGAAGGAAGGTCCCCTAGGCCAATATTGAAATGCGAAAACTTTTATGCATCCCTAGAGAGATAAAGGTCTTCTTCCAAAGCAGTCCAAAAGCCTCTTGTGTGTTCAAAGGTTCATAATTCTTGTGCAAGGGCTTTCTCGATGTCATTCTGTTTTGCAGAATAATAAAAAAAAAAAAAAGAGAACATCAAAGTAAGCACGTACGGTGGAAAAAGTGATGATATAATACAAGAGATATATTAGGAAGGGATGTAAAAGAGAGAGACCTGGATGGAGAGAGGTGAAACAGTTGGGCCATAACGATCAATGACTTGACCATCTTTGGCGACCAAGAACTTGGTGAAGTTCCATTTGATCCGAGATCCAAGAAAAGTGGGTTTCTTGGATTTCAGGAATTTGTAGATCGGTGCTGCGTTTTGTCCATTAACACGCACCTACATAAACACAGGTTACAAAAGCCATGTTAAAGATGACGAGTGTTACAGATGATTATGAAGAGAAGAAGTGTGTTATATTGTCAAGCAAGTAAATTGTTGTTAAGCACAAAGAGAAAAAAGAAGAGACCTTTTGGAAAACAGGGTATTCGGCCTTAAACCTAGTACAAGCAAATTGATGAGCCTCTTGGCTGGTGCCAGGCTCTTGGTATAGAAACTGATTGCAAGGAAACGCCAAGATCACGAACCCTGTCACCATTCTACACTTTTTTCAGTTTTTTTTTTCCTTTTTCTTTTAATAAAAAAAGTCCCAAGATGTAGCTAGCGCCCTAAATTTCACATTAACAACCAATGATGAAACAAGGAAGCCAGAAAGAAAAAAAACTGTGACCTTGATCTTTATATTTCCGGTAAAGTTCCGTGAGCTGGGTGTAATTGGATTCGGTGAGTCCGCTGTTCCCAAATAAATACATAAAAATTAGAACCAAAAACAAAAGGAAAGGAAAAAGAGAGAGAACACAAACCCATTGGAAGAGACAGACCATTTAGAAGCCACATTGACGACGAGAAGCACTTTCCCTTCATACACGCTTAGGTCAGCGTCCTTGCCAGAGCTATCCTAATTTCCGACCAACCCAATCAAACCCCAAAGCATAAATAAAAGAAATCAAGAAAACGATACACGATTGGAGAAAAAAGGAAGGAAGGAAAAAAAAACCTTGACGGTGAATTGATGGATGGATTTCTCGGACACTGACGACGACGATGATGATAGAGAAGCACCCATCTATCTCGTATCTTTGCACAAGATGAGGGATGAATTGATCGATTATACTTTTTTTCATTCAATTCAGTTCATTCGTTTAACCCTTCCCTGTAAAATCCCACTCCTTCATTATATGAGCTGTTATTACAAGTCACGCACCTTTTGTTTGTTTGTTTTTTTCTTCCTGTATCCAACCTGTTTGCTATTTTATTTTAATTAAGAGGAACCTTCCTGTGTCTCTTTCATTCATTTTCTTATCTCACTCTACATTTTTAAACCTATTATATTAAGCCAATACATTTCACCACTTTAAATAAGTTCTAGCTTCTTCGTTTTACTTCCCACCATAAAACGTTTACTTAGTGTTATTGCCACTCAAAAAGCAAAAATAGAATAAAATAATTTGTTTACAAAATTAAATGCCTAATTCAGTGTCAGTGTACTACTACTAACTCATTTTTTTTTTCTTTCTTTCTCAGATCTCTACAACAAATGGCTTTTAGCCTTTTACCATCTTTTCATGGACTGTTTTTTGGGCATTCCTCATGCTTGCTGTTTTGGTCACATATGTACACTCCTCTTTTCTTTTTTTTCTTTTTTTCTTTTTTTGTATATTAACATCTCTCCAACTGGCCAAGTTCGATCCACACACCTAAACTTGTTGCTCTCTATTTCTTCCATCACTATCTCACATGTCTGTAACTTAAGAGCAGACATCGGTTTCCGTATTCTCCATATTCACCTTTCATGCCACGTGCCTGGATCTGCATACCCACAAACACACTCAACTTTATTTTTTCTTTTCAATTTACGAGCAATAGGATATGGTTTGTTTACTTCTGGACAAGTAAAACATCCTCAAATGTCAAAGACCTAAGATGCAGTCCTAGTTCAAAGGAAATGGCTCATCATACGGCTGGTTAAATACATCATCACGAACTAATAAGGATCAGTTTTTCTAACCCTAGGATACAATTACAGTTTTGAAATGGCTGATTCAGTTTGTGGAAGAGTAAAGAATGAGTCCACTGAACAAACATGAGTTTCCATATTACCTCTCATTCCTACTGGAACCGGACCATCAGATTGCGGCTTAAAGTGAAAAGAATGTCTACTGTTATATGCACGCGGAGAATGGCTCCACCTATTGTTCTGAAACCTTCCAGAGTCACGGTGATGGCCACTGTATGAGCTTGACTGATAAGGGCCTTTGTATCTGTCATGATATCGTGGGCCTGCAGTTTTAAAAACCATCCACGCCTATTAGCATGCATGAGCAAGTGCTTGTGTACGCTGATATTCATTCATATATGCCTATGCATGCATAAGAAAAATAAGAAAAAAGGTAAAAGCAATCCACCATGGGAAGAGGGCGGATGATATCTCCAATTGTCTCGATTCTCATATGGTGCAGGCCTCATTCTCTCATGATAATTCCTTTCGTCAAATTCCGGTGTGTAGTGAGATCTGTGAGGGTATGATTGACCATCTCTCCGCGACTTTATATGGTGATCTGGCTCTATATATGAATAATGATGTGATGGCGGAGGTGGGGGATGAGAAGATGGATAATGCCGATGCTGGAAATTCGAACTCTCCCCACGTGGCATACTTTTTGACAAAGATAAGCGGGAATTATAAGATGTTTCAGGACTTCCGAAATGCATTGGTGGGTTCATCCTTGGAGGACCGGCCTGATAATTTCCCTGGGATATTTATCAGAAATGAAGTTAGCAATCATGTCTCAATCATCACTATGTTTACCACAAAAGATTCTAAAAGAAGATAAAGGACGCACCTGCATGCTGTGATTTCTGTGGCTATCAAAGCTATTTGAGTAGGAATCAGACATTGCACACAGCGCATTCTGCAAAGAAGGAGCTGGTGGAGGTGACGAGGTAACATTCTGATGCGAAGTGCCAGAGACAGGCTGGCAATTTCTAGACTCTGTATTATCGGCTTGATCTGTGATCTCACTGGTTACAGCTTCCCAAGGTGGAGCAACGTCTTCCATTTCAAGCTCGCCGTCAACATCTTCCAGTATACGGGTATGCCTTTCCGTAATGGAGGGCGTAACATGTTCTTCAAGGCTTCTGGACTCATGTTCAGGGGTAACAGACTCAAAATCCCCCCCATCCGAGTCACTGCCTTCGTCTTCATCCTGAAGCATTGCAGGCATGCAGAATCCATGAAGCTGGAGAGTTGAATTACTGAAACACAAAGATAAAATTATGACACAGAGATAAAGAAATCAAGATCTCGAGACTGAATAGACCCAACTCTCACCTTCCATATTCATCCACCAGCATACCCTCCATATCTCTAACAGGGTCATCCAGTGCCCTTTCTGTTCGAGCAGAGCGCCGAGAATAGAGGCACGCAGGAACATTACTAATTATATCAAGTTCTCTTATATGGTGACGAACTATAGATTCAGGAAGGATCCGTCTTTCGAGCCAGACCCTCAAAACCTATATAAGAGCAGAAAGGGTGAGAGTTAATTTACGGAAAAGAAGATCTAAGTAGAATTATTGCATACCTTCAAGCACAGTTTTCGGTTTTCTTGTGTGGTAGCTCCAGCTGGGACAGCAGCAGCCAATAGGCGAGGCAGCATAGCTTGAATAGATGAAAGATAAACACCACCAGCATCACCTGAATAGAAAGGTAGTATTCACAATGTTAACTCGCCATTGATAACCTCAATGCTGCAACTAAGCAAAAACCTTACATAGGTAACTCACCATTTAGACCTTTGGAGCACTGAGCAATAGAATCCACAAGGAAAAATAAGTCCACCCTTCTTTGCAAATTTGACTCACTTTCTAAAGTATGAGCCAGAATTTCCATCGCCTAATTCAAGACATAGAGATTCTTAGAGCCTCATTAACAAAATAAGCCAAATATCTGCTAAATGTAGTGTTATATAAATCGCACAAAAACATAGCGCAAAAAAGTTCCTTTTCTCTTTAAGGTAGATAAGATAATAAAGCTTTACTTAGTCCTATGCTTGTCAAAGGTGACTGGATGCCTACAGCATCCTAAATTAGCCACATAAAACCATATACATAAGGGGGTTCTTTAATTCGTAGTAATACATAAAGTTGGTTTGAGTATTATGGTCACAGTTTGATTGACGCAATCAACTATCTGGATAATAGAGATAGGTTTTTTAAAAAGGGACAGATCCAGGTACTATAATTAACATATCTTTAAGAAAAAAGTTGTCTTCAATTGAATTCCACTTCTACATAACATGTGGAATCAAAAAAAATATAAGACAAAGATCACAAGCAGGGAGAAAGTCACATACCTTCGTCGACACACCAATTTTCGCTAAGTCCATAGCCAAGCGAGTTGCTCGGCCAATGGTCTCCTTTGTCCGCACCAATGAGCCAAGTGCGGTCTCAAAGGATTCAATAGTGCATTGCACATCAGAACTAATAAATTTCTTCACCTGAGTTGCACCAGTTTCAACTTTGCTTTCTTCTTTGACAGTGTCATCATTCAATGATTTCTTCTCACCAAACTGAGCATTGGTCATACTACAGCTGTTCTGCATAGCACTTGCACTTTCTGCGGTAAAAATATGGCATCCTGAGTTGCAATGCGGAGTACCCCTTGCAGGGGAGTCTGCAACATGAGCAGGAGATGAACTCAATTTTTCACGTGAAAGGTTCTCAGATACTGAGATAGGATTGCTGGCTGGCATCTGCTCCTTCTGCTTATCAACCTCACAACTGCCAATGCACAGGGAAATGCCATATTGTTAGTCAAAAAGCTTGACCAAGATAGTTTCTGAAGAAATTAAAACTAATTGATGATTGCTTAAACTCAATATGCCTATCCTCTACATAGATGTCCAGAACATGAGAAAATTAAATAGGAAGTAGGAACCGGAAATCTTTAATCGTAAAGGGAAATGCAAATTACAAACAAAGAAAGAAATAATAAGGAAATAGATATTTTTTTATTAATTTTCTAGTCATGTTCTATCTCAGTCATACTATGAGGACTCCATACATAAATATTCCAATGTGTTTAGAAGTTAAAGACCTGATTGTAATTTCAAAAGTTATCCTAATGAGGAAAAGCAATAAGAGAAACACCATACAAGTATCAGAAATTAGTATAGCAGTTAGAGACAAAACAGTAGACTCACCTCTTTTCCTGCTCTCTGTTCTCCAAAGCATCCTCACAGTGACTATACACAGTTTCATACTGAGGTCCCGCTTCTTCAACAATCATTTCACTTTCAGTAGCAGAGAGGGCTGGATTTTGTATCATGAGAGCTTGTTTCTCACTATCAAGGTCTTTACCCGGAGTTCCTTGGTTTTCTTTCAGCAGAATGTTTTCAGTCTCCTGCATATTCTCAGTCTCCTGAGTGGTTTCCATCTCTAGATTATTGACCACTGAACAGAACAATGGAGGAGGTTCTACATCTTGGGACTTAACAATCTGAGCCATACAGTAATCAAGTTTCTCACATTTCTTATTAAGAGAATCTCCATCAACGACCAATGTATGGTCAAAAGAATCACACTCCTGGCTTTGGTGTTGGTGAGGATATTGAGCAGGTGCCCCTGTTGTTGTCATATCCAAACTCGAGCATAAATTGGGGGACTTATTTGCAGATGAATCAACAGTATCAGGATTCAAAGGGGTTTCGTGTTTCTCACTTGGACGTGAGCATTGCACGTCAATAGAATCGGTCTCACTAGTAAGTATAAGACAGTTCCCGGTTTGTGATTCCTCAGAACATCCCTGAACTACATCAGGAACATGAGCTTTTACTTCTGCCAAACTGATAAGTTGATTAGATTGTCCTCGAGTTAGTTCATAATCTACTGTCATGGTAAACTCGTTCTCATGGAACTTCACAGCAGTTTTTCTATATCCTACAGTCGAAACACCAGCCCTAGACGGCGACACTATGTCAGAAGGCAACTCTATCAGAGAAGGCACTACATCAACCATAACACCTGGGAGCTTAGCAGACAACTCAACGCTGTTAAATTCTTCGGCTACAGAAGTATCATGACCAGAACCGATATCATTTTCATGATTCACCAAAGGGCTTGTCTGCATGGCTGTACTTATAAGAGTGCCTTTGGATGATCTATCTTCGAACCTTGAGGCATTGACCTTTTCATCAGCATAAAAAGCTTTACTCATTCGGACTCTGGCTCGCTTTACCAGAGGCAAATGTTCATCACCATTATCTTCACAGGGCCTCTCATTCAGCCTTTCATGAGAATTTTGAGATCTTTGGCAGCTATCACAACCATTGGCCCCAATACCTTCTACCTCAAATTTAGCAGGCGGGTCAATAAGGTCACTAGTTTCACGTTTTCTGGTGGGCTTCCTCTTCTTCCTCGTAACGACGGTGCTAATTTGGAAATCTAGCCCTTTGTTGAGCTCATGACCTCCTTTACAACCCTCACCAACAGCATCAGAGTGATCGACTATGGAACCAGAATCCACACCATTGCCTTCATTCCTACTATTATTGTCAGATTCAACTGTAGCAATTTCAGATGCGTTCTCCTCATCAGATCCATGCAAATTTAGAGCTGATGAAACCACATCATCTGATTCAGAATGACCTGACCTATGGATCCTCTTTCTCCTTCTGATAGCTCTGTCATCTATGCCATCAACACTCTGGCCACCATCACTGCATTGAAGCATAGACATTTCTAGTCTATCTGATTCCAACCTTGATGAGATTTTAGAGCGCTGAACTGGTAATGTTAAATTCTGCGGAGCACACTTTAGAGCTCGCACCCTTTCATTTCTTCTCCTTGAAGAATATGTAGCTATCTCACATAGATCTTTAGCTGCGGCGCTATCACAGGTTTCATTATGAGCTAGAGTGTTATGACGCAGGGCTAGCATTTGTTCAGCAGCTGAAGCATCCTCACTGAGAAGAGCCAACTCATCTCTATCATGACTAGAATTTGACTTTATTTGAGTGTCAAGTCTTGAATCAATTAGATTTTCGCAGGCCTGAGGCAGCTGTACAGTTTTCTCAGAACTCCCTTCAGTTGATTCTTCAGCAGATTTAGGATCACTAGCTTGGTTCTGCTGCTTCAGCTTCTCGAAACTCTCTGTGATCTCCTTGACGGCACGGACAAAATCTGACCCTTTGGCATGACGTTTTGTCAAAAGTGATTGCTTCTTCTCCTCAGTAAATGATTCAACATCAGCAGGATTGCAGAAAGCTCTGCAAATACACCAAAAAGTATTACTAACTGAATATGTAGCATAAAGAACATTCAACTGATCTAGAGGGAAAAGAAATAGGTGCAGTTAATTAATTAAATTTGAAAAGGCAGGCAGTTGTGCTAAAATACTCTCTTCATAACAGTTTTACATCAGTATTCACTTAACCATGGGAATGGAAGATGCAACAAAAAGAACATTCACTAAATGTTGATGCTAATCTGCAAAGTAGATGATTAAACAGTTTTCAGAGTTTTCAACATACAAAATAAACAAAGGGCATTAAGCAAGGTAAATTGTAACAAAAGTCAACATCCAGTAGATGTGAAAACTCAACCAAAAACTGCTAAATATAAGTTCAACAAGGAGTACTGTAGCCAACTATCTGGAAAGAAGAAAATTGCTAAACTCAAGTGAACCAGAAGCCTGCAACGGGAATGATTCAGATTCTGATTCTGAACAAAGTAAAATTAGAGTTTGGTAGTGTCTGTTAGAGAACATACATCACATCAAATGTATCTTCCCCAAACAAGACAAGTTAAAAATTTATGTCTATAACCACGGTACCAGCTTCTACAATTCATCACCTCAAATGACCCTCATAAGTCATAATCAAATAAACTAATCTACCAGGAACGATTCTGAATCTAAACCACGGAAAACTAGAGTTTAGTAGTGTCTGTTAGAGAACATATCTCACATCAAACTTATCTTGCCAGGACAAGACAAGTTAAAAATTATGGTCATAACCAAGGTACCATCAGTTTCTACGTCCTAATCTAGTGAGACAAAACCAAGGTTTATCTCCTCATATGAGAATCATAGTAAAATAAATCAATCTACTCAAATGTGGACGAAAAAATTGAATGGCCTTAAATAAGTGTAGAATGACGAACAGGAACTCGGACTGAAAATGTTAGCATTTGCCAAATAAGGGAAGTATAACCAGAAAGTAAAATAAAATATACGAGAGGGTGATAGTAAGGGCCTGCAAACTTACATCTGTTGTGTGCCAAAAAAGTGAACCAATACTTTCTTCCAGTCAGCTGAGTAGCCCCATTTTTCCGGTTCACTAACCTGAAATTACTTCCACACATAAGCAGACAGCCAGTGATCAAAAAGAAAAAATCGATCATGACTTGAAAGTGACGAATGGGATATCACTCGCAATAATCGTAGTATGACAAAAAAAAAACTTAAGAAGATGTAAGATTTATAAAATCATATAAAGTTGCTAAAAGAACATCTCAAATTGGTGGCGAATACTAACAACTAGAAAAATTGAACACGGGTGTTCCTGTAAGCTGTAAAAAACTAGCCAACCTCCGTGGAAGATATCCATATCCCTTAGGCAGTCCCTAATCGACATAAACATCAACCTAGAAAAGATCTTTCAACTTAATTATATGCAGAAGCAGAACAGGGCGATATGCACAGACATGCAACTTCAACCCCTAAATGTAGAGCGATTCCTACAGCCATCTCATGAAATCTCATGAAACTAATGAGCAATTATTGTAGAACCAAAGAGAAAATGCAAAGGCAAAGATGCACATACCGCTGCAGGCCAAGCAGGAAATCCTTTGACTTTGGCAAGCACGAGATCGCCAACCTTCCAATCCCGGCGAGTGGATGCAGCTGCCGCAGCCTTACCACCGCCTTTCTTGCGGCTCGGAGCCATCGGATTTCAGAAAAACAACGAGCACCAAAAGAGGATTAAAAAAAAAAGGGTAAGGATTATCTAACTCTCGAAGTTAAGCCAGAATCGCAGGCGAAAATTAGGAGCTCGGGAGTGCCTAGGGTTCTCGGTGACAGATTCAGCTACAGGATTCGCAGGCATTGAAAAATCCCCAACCCAATCGACGGATGTACGCACGCAAGATCAATGGTCTCGTAAACCCTAATTGAGACGAGCGAAAGAGAGAAGATTGATGTAAGATTATATCGGTTTTGTGGAAGAGAAATATTCACACACGGAATCACAAGGGAGAACCAACAAACAAACAAAAAAATAAAAACCTGTTTGATTGGCTCGAGCTCGACTAGTTTTGTTAATCGTTCGGCCGGTGTAGGGTTTGCAAGTTTCCATATGCGATGTCTAATATGCGCCATACACCCACGCGTAGGTTAATTTTATTTCTTTTATTTTAGTTCTGCTGGGACTTGAAAAAGTTTACAAAGAGCGAATCTGGTTCGTTGTTTTGTACGCCGATGAGAGTTAAAATTCAAGTCCATGTCTTCTAAGCCCATTCTATTTGAAAAGGAATATACAGGCTAAATAAGGCCCAAATTGTTTAGCCCATTAATGGCTCAACTTCGTTATCTAATTTTATTTTTGTTGAGGTCAAAAACCATCGTTATCTAATCTATGTAACATTTTCTGAAAAGTTGTCATATGCTGCTGCATCTTATTGGAAAAGTTAAAGGAATAAACCCATCAGTTTCCAATCTTGAAACTCCACCACGAGTTTTTTTTACCATTTCGAAAGCAAACAAAGTCTTCTTGTTGGACGGATCTTTTCTTTGGGAGGAGTAAGGAGTTCTTCTTGCTTTTCATTCGACTGCTTTACTTCAAAAGATTACTTCATAGTACGTACATCCACATTTGGTTTGGAACTGCCACGTTTCTCCACAGCAAAATAAAACGCGGGCTGGAGACACGTGTCTTTTTTTTCTTTTTCTATTTTGATACAAACCGAGACGTCAGTTATATCCGGATTCTCTGTTGCGACGTATACGCAATCACCTATGGACACGCGTCCAACTAACCAATAAGATATTGACACGGTTTAGTGGTTGGAGCAACATGGATCTATTATTCTGGCATAAAGCCACGTGTGCCATTCTCGAGCTACGGATATATAAATAAGTGAGACCATGACGCGCGTGGTAGACAGCAAAAACTCAATGCTTCTATTCTAGAGGGAAGATTCTCCGTCGTCCAGATGAACACCAATAAATGGCTCAGATTTAACCAACCGAGTCGATTGCCCAGCTTCGGTGAGTCATGTATAGAGAACGAGCGAGTCCTGGTGCTAGTCTTCGAATCTATTAGCTGGGACATCCACACGCTATGCGCAGTCGCCTCACTTAGCCGCAGATTTTGTGCTATCGCCAGACGAATTTTGTGGCGGCGGCTATGCGTGAACCGTGCGCCGGGCATGGTGGCGGCATTGTCCGGCGCTGATCCCACCGGGCGAATCGACGGCGGATGGCACGCGTTAGCAAAACTCATGTTCTTCTGCGGCGGCGGCGAGTCGACTCGGTATTTTAATCTGAGTCAGCCGTCGTTGGGTCACTTCGCATGCGAATCCAGATTCTCCAAGACCTCCGGCAGATTCTTCCTACCGAAGAATTGCCGCCGTGATCTCTTATACATGAGCGATCCGTGCGAGCATCACGCGGTGGGTGGAGATGAGCACTTGGGGGTGTTCAGAGGGGTATTTCGGGAATTCATGAGGTCAAAGACGAGAGAGTGTCTCGTGAGAAGACAAGCGGCGCTGGAGGAGAAGGTTAGGTGCCCGTATTGCGGAGGGCGCGTGTGGAGCATGACCGCGGCGCGCCTGGTTCCAAAGAGCGCGGCGCGGCGGCTGGGATCACGCGACAGTGGGTTAGAGTTCTTTGTGTGCGTGAACGGTCACTTGCACGGCACCTGCTGGCTCATTCCGCTTTCATCGGAGGAAGAAGACGACGACAACAGTGACGGCAGTGTGATCTAATCCAATGGTGGTGAAATTAGGTCTCTTTGGGATCATTGCAAACCAAACCACAAGAGGAGTTCTCTCATCTAAGATTCTCCTATGACATGTGGAGCTCACTAGTTGCAGGATGGTGTGAAGATCTTTTAGCATATAAGTTGCCAAGTACGACGAACAGCCTAAGCTTATTACCCGAATCATTCGGCTGGTTTAGATTATTTTGGTACACTACACCAGTGATAGAATGATTTTGTATTGTATCTGATGTTTCAACTGTTGAAATGCTGGCCATTAGTTTGGTGAAGGTTCAAACAAATCGAAAACAATAACATTGGTCCGCTCTGTTTCTTTGACCAACAACGGCCATATGTTTCATTCAAACAAGAATCATGAGTTGCATGTTTCTGTACACTAAATTTCATAATCATCCGCTGTCATATAATACAGATTTTTTCATACTATTCCCCTAAAACTCTCCCAAAATTTCTGTTTCTAATTAAGTGGCTCCCCATTGAGTTGTTACTTGCTTTTGTTCTCAGAGGTAGGTAGGCCTCAAGGTCTTTCTTTTATTTCTAGTTTTCTTTGAATTGCTTAGGTTTTCTGTTTGGTCAATGCTATTATTGTCTACAGATGCTTGGAGTAAGACGCACTGAGTCTGAGCACCTCCTCCCAATTGGGTATATCGGTTACAATTGTTTGTGAGGTATCTCTTTTATCTGTCAGCTCTCCAGAATCTTATTGTACATCAAAATACGTTTTACATCTCATTTGTGTTGTTACTTACCATTTTAACAGGATATTAAGGACAGTATCGGGGTTTTCAGGATTCAAGAGCCCGAGAAAGGACCTTTCTTTGTCTCACCTATACCTCTCGATAAAATCATCTCTTCACTGGGAATATGGTCAAGGTTGTTTCTCTTCTCAGTATGACTATTCTCTTCCTCGAATTCTGAGATTAGTCAAAAAAGATCTTTTTGGCAGGAGGTTCAAATATGCCTTCGTTGGTTTAACTGTTGTTGGTGTGATTCTTATTTCAAAAGCTTGTGATTGAGTATATTCTTGAGAGAAGGAGGAGACGATTGTTACGGAAAAGGTACGTCGGATATTAACCAAAGTCATAGACTTGCAAATAAATGGTCATTCCAAAGTAAGTGTCCAGCTATTTGTTGCAGAGCTGCTGATGCAGCTGCTAAGAGAGCTGGACTAGCTAGTAACTAGAGGTAGTATAGTATCCCATTAGAGTTTGCAGTAACATGAGAATCCTTTTTCTGCATACGCTTGTAATTGCTCTACTTACAAAAATGTAACACCAGGATTTGAAATTTAACAAGAGAGGAGCTCAGATAGTACAAGCAGAGATGACAATGTACTTGATCTCTGTTTGATCTGCCTTGATGCCGCTTTTGCTAAGTAAGAACGTTGTTCCTCTTTTAAAACTCATGAGCCCTCTCACTGATGGGACATCATAGCTTTTGAATATTCTTTTGTTTGGTTTGCACTTGTGTAGGTGTGGTCATATGTGCTGCTGCTTAACATGCTCCTTGCACGTAAAGACCTGTCCTCTTTGCCGTAGACCAATAGAACAAGTTTTGAAGATATACAGCCTTTGAAGACAAAACTAAAATTCTCGCCTTTTGAAGACATTGGGACTCTATCCTTCCGATCTACTAAACAATCATTGAGCTTTGTCTGTAAAGCCTTGTACTTTGATTATAACCTTGTTCGCATTGATGCAAAAGCTAATGGAAAGTGACCTAATTACCGAAATCCCAAATGAAATTTCAATATTTGAAAGAGCAAAAATGAATCTTTGAAAGAGCAAAAATGAAATGAAATCAGCTTTGTTGATTCCGCGAAGCATCTTGTATTGAAAAATTATACGTTTCTTTCCCACCGTAACCAGTAACCTCATTGATGACTGAAATTTCTACTGAAACAGTGTTTGCATTCACCATTTTTAAGGGGAAGCGTCCATCAAGATAGCTTACTATCTGGGTTCTTGAGAGTCGCCGATGCGTTGCACTACAGCACGGGCCTGGCTTACCCCCCATCAAACCAATAGTCCAATTCTTGAAGTTAATCACTCGTGTGTGGAGCTTCTTCTGCAAGGTCGTTCACTGTCATTCACTGAACGGGGCTTACATATCCAATGACAAACAAGTTTTTTTTAAGATTCGTTATTAGTCAATCATTCAACACACGTGATTCACGCGATATGAAACGTGACAATAACAAAAGTGGAACATGGTGAGAAGTACTTTTATAGATCAACAAGTATAAGTGTAGAAAGAATATTTTCAAGTTTTCGTCCACTCAACCAGAAAATTTCAGTGATAAGGGAGCTTCATCTTTCAATAAAGAAGCGAATCTCCAGCTCCAATGGAAGAAAAACTTGCACAAAAGCAGATTGCTTTTTAGTTAAAGCAAACCAATTAAAAGGGTATGAAGAAGAAACTAGATAGATAAAATTCTGTTTTCTTTTGATATAGAAAAGACAAAGACAATCACATTTTTCCAAAGCGTAGAATCAAAGCAAGCCATTTGGAAAAGAAAAAAAAAAAGAAAAATCCATAATCCCACTACATAATAATTTCATATAAACCAACACCCATAATTAAACATCCATGTAAACAAAGAGAGGATGCAGAGAGGAAAAGATGATGACAAGAGAGGCTTTTGCCGCTGGTTTTTCAGGTTGGTGGTGGTTAAACTCATGGCCGGTCACAAGGAAGGCAACTCTGACTCTGTGACAAAGAAACTGATCAAGAAGGAGTCAAAATCTGATATCACAATCTATTTCAAGCAACGAGAAGACTCGGAGGACAACGCTAATCCCATCAATATCTCAAACTCCGAGAAAGAGAGGGTGATCATGCTCGTTAATGGTAGTAACGGCCCAAAGAAGAGCATATCGAGTGAGCCGATCGTTAGGCGATCACAGAATGGAGCTGATAAATCACAACCGCCGAAGCCGCTTTTGAATGATATAAATAGGAAATCACATGCTTTCATTGAGAGTAGACTCGAGAAGATGCGGAAAGGCTTATAGCCTTGAACCAAACTACATGATCACCTCTCTCTCTCTGTTTTGCACAGACAAGACTCTTCCTCATATCACATCATATACTATATTATATGTCTAAGGAATCATATCTAAGTTTTTTCATCAATTCATTTATATTGCCTGCATTCTCATAAATTACATCTATGTGTATTTTAAAACATTTTTATTGCATAATATCAGATACTTGTATGTAAGAATTTTCTTAAAAGGTGTTGCAGGCATTTAGTCGCAAAGTGATGTCTACGTCCGCAATGTATACCATGATTGACAGGTTTCATTCTTCATACTGATAACCAGGTTGGACGTTGGAGAATCAAATCATAACACAAAGGAAAATGTAAAACAAATTGATTATTCCCCTCAATTCGTTGTCCATGATAATGATATGATAAGTTCATTCTTGCCTAATTAGAGAGTTTTGTTGCACCTTTAACCATTGAAAGTGAAGAAATATAGAATAAATACACTTTGCCTTTAACCCTCGCAAATTCAACGCAAGGATCAATTGAAATCACTGGAACTTGTGTCCGTCTCTTTTTTCTCCTTTGGGATTTTCTTATGTTGGATTTGGACACGACTATGTTCAGGCTAAAGCATGATGTACATGTGGATGGCAGGCAAATATTGACCTACACGTGCCCCTAACACCCGTAGAATCTTGCATGTCACAAACTCCTCTATATAGTATGACCGAAAGATTTATCATCATAACCCATGTAAAGTCTTATAACCATGAGTAGACGCATGGGACCAACAAAAGCAAAGTTTGCTGCCATTGCTCTGATTTGTGCTATTCTGGTGTTGGAAAGTACAGTAGTGTCAAGTGTAGTAGAAGATCTGGTGGTGGAACAGTGTAAGCACCACTGCAGACTTGATATCAACAAGAGAGAGTGTGAAGATAGGTGCAATGAAGAGATGAGGACGAATGTAGAGACAAGTAGGCAGCAAGAAGAGGAACAAGATCCCTTCTGCGAGGCATTTTGCAAACCCTTTGAAGGACTTTATCAACAATGCATGACCGTTTGCCCCCGCACCATAGGAGGAGATGGTGTTGCTAATGGGTATTTGCAGACAAAGTGTAACAGAAAATGCCCTGCCTACACCGAGTCAGAGGCCTACAAAAGATGCATGTCGGGATGTTTCATGTCCATGAGAATGGGAAACGAGCAAGTCTGCGAGACATCGTGCAGTATTATTCAAGAGGAGCCGCTTACTATAAGGTGCACGAGGGTTTGCCACGAGAGAATTCCCGGAGCTGTTAGTACTTCTTAATGTTTTTAAAACTCTGAGTTGTTTTGTTGTGTAAGAGAATCCAGATTAAAATAATAGTTTATAAACTTTTTAAGTTTTGGAATCGAGTTCCCCCCAGTTAAAGCAGAGCTTAATAGTTTTAGAGAACATCATCAAATGTACACAAACTCCGAAAAAGCATTGTTTGAGGGATGAGAAGAAAAAGGGAACAAATAGGGAAACCCGCTAGTCTTGGGTCTGCGTTAAAGAGCTCCTCGCAGAGGTGGAAGTAGAGGTAGCAAAAGGAGAAGCAAGCCTAGGATCAGGAGGAAGAGTGTCTTCCATGACCTTTGGGACAGTGAAATTGAAGTCTCCGAGAGGTGCGTTATTGAATTCCGGATAGGCTTCGACGAAGGCTGCAATTTCATTGCGACTCCTGAGCTTCTTCCCGGTAGGAGTGATGTAGTAGGTATCCATCTTAGAGTAATCTTTTCTGAGAACCAAGCTCCTCTTGAAACCTTTGGGGGTTTTGGGGACACCGGGCTTGTCGATGACCCAAGTGCGTGAGGAATCGTAGTCAATATCTGCAGGCTCTTCACAAGAGAGGCCCTGTTTCTTCTGACAGTTGAAAGGGTCCTCCAGCATTTTGCTTCTGATATCCTCGTACTCGTCTTGACCATCAATCACCCTCCACTTGTGACACTTTTCGCATTGGGCAGCATAGGTGTCTATCGACCTCCCTGGACCAACGTCTTTCTGCAATCACATCTCCACTTGTGTGAGAAGTGCGATAATAACCAAAGAACAAAGGCTTTCCTTAACTGAAAGCTAAAGACAAGAGAGGGGCTGACGACAAGACAAGCATCCGGAAGAAACAAGACTCCAAATTTGCAAAACTAATCCAAGGATACGACACAAATCGTGAACCCAGAAAACTCAAAACCCTAGAATCCTATGGGATTGAGGTTAACTTACTCTATAAATTACAAACTACGATAAGAGATCTGAGATCCCCAGAGAAATTTTTTTTTTAAAAAAAAACGCATGCACTTTGCCAGAATCATAAGGTAGGAAACCTTCGCATCTGATAAGAAGCATAAGAGAAAACGCAAAGAAGAAGAAGATTGACGTCTCGAAAGCAAAATATAGATGAAGTATGTTGTGGCTCACACACTATACCTTGGCTTTTGGTTTGGCTGGTTTCCCCATCTCCTGCTGCTCCATCTCTGACTTCCCAAACTGATGTATTTAGTAAAATGAGGAGTTTCTCTCAAAATTACCTTCTCTCCTCTCTCCCTTAATAGCGAAACTTCTTCTATAACTCCCCCAAATAGTGATATCCTCACAGCCTCTTCGTTTTTCTCACTGTAACAGCCAAATCAGAACCCAACACGTCGGCGCAAGCAAATTGATTTCGGGCCTTCAGGTCCATATTATTCCTAATCGGAAGCCCATATGTTTTCTTTTCTGGTCACTCGTAATGGATCATCAGACTGACTAACCATCTAATTAGTGAATGGCCCAAGTGTTCAATATAAAAAGCCCATTTCTTTTCTTTTCTGTTTCTAAACGGATCATCATGCTACAATCTCATTTTGTCCCAAACCTTTTTTGGGAGAAAAAGAAAATCAATAAAAGAGGAAGATCAGAGATTCTGTTGTTGATCATCGTCATCAGCTTCTTCGTATGCCTTTACCTAACTAGTTACTTGGTTCGCAAGGTATAAACCCTTGTTTTGGAAATCTTGTCACCTGTCTATCCTTTAAGACCACGGTCCTTTTTCTAGCTAGTGACAGTAACTGTGAACAAATCTTCTAAATAAACTGCACACTAAAACGGTCTTTAATACTTACTTACTACTAGTATTGTAGTATGAGATTTCTCTACAAATATTTTGAAACTAGTTTCGAACATTAACTAGTAGTTTAACTACGTATATGATCATCATCTTTAATGGCTGCAGTACCTATACCTACCGATGGAGATCATTTTGGGGCTATTGTTCTCTAGGATATTCTTCTAAATCAATAGTCAAAAGCCCATTGATACGGCCCGCCCATAAGGATCCTGCAGACCGTCTACAAATGTCAATCATACATACCCAAAACCAAAACCTTATAGCTTACAAGTTACAAAACGATATGCTGTGTCGTCGTTTTATGAGAGAACACGTACTTCCAAATTGTCTGTCTTCTGTTCACTACTCTGGACTGAACCATGTGAATGACGAGTTGATGATGATGAATGCAAAGTGATAATGAGAGAGAGAGAGAGAGAGAGAAGATGTTTAATGGTTTGAGATATTCAGAAGGTCTCTCTCGTCTCGTGTCTTATTCTTTGAATCTTCTCTAGCTAGGGTTTAGGTTTGTAGGCTAAAACTAATAATAATAAAAGACAAAACACATCGTTCGTTTCGTTGTTCAATGCTTTTGTCTCTTCTCTCCTTTCTTCTGAGTTCTCTTTCTCGTTTTTCTATTTTTCTTCCATTTCTATGAAATCTCTGCACATCTACTACACTTTCCATTCCGAGTAGCTCCCTGGCCTCTCTTATTGTTTTCAGAATATCACTTCTTTTTTTTTTTATCAGAATATTACTTTATTTCCCTTTACCTCGTTTCTCTTCTTTTTTTATATGATCAGGTTTTATTTTGTTGTCAAGTGTGAATCGGATATATTTTGTTGATTTGGTTGATATTTTGTCATTTTTATGTTCTCTCTTGGTTATAAGATAATGAATAAAATTATTTATTTCTGTATCAACCAAAAACTTTAATTAAATTGTTCACTTTTTGCCGGCTACGTTTCAACAATTGTCACAGTTTTAAAATACCCACGACATGGTTTGATCGAGATTTATATATTAGAAATTTACAATACATGCACTTCAGCATATCATTGTTATAACTTGTTGTATGTATCTCATAAGATCTCTATCTAAGTATAATTATATGGTTGTAAACGTTCTTCAATAATTTATGTAACACTTAATCTAAAAGATTGTTTTCGTCTTTCTTATCTTCCCAAATACACGATCGACACCTCATTTGTATTAGTCGAAGTGCCCACTATCGAACGCACCGCAAGTCTAGCTATAACTTCTAATGTGAACTAGAGAAGAAGAAAAAAAGATAGCCCAAAAGCAATTATATAACTTGGATGCCCTTTTGAAGGAAAATTAAAGATTCCTCAAACCAAACCATTAAGCTTAAAAAGTTAGTTAGATGATGAATATAATAAAGATTTGTAATCTTGGATCTAAAGCATTGAATATGGTCTTACAAACGACAAAGCCAATCCATTGACAAACGAAAGAATCTTAGTGTAAACGACAAATTAATGTATTATGGAGAGAAATCAGAAGATGTTGATAAATCACCAAACATAATTAAGATTTCTCTTTTTTAATACTATTTGTTAGAAAATGAGAGCTATATACATATATGCTTTGTTACAAAAATGGAAAAGGAAACCAAAATTATTTATCCAAACACTAAAAAGATTACTAGTAATCCATTGATTACACTAAGGCTTAAGCATATGCAAAATTATTCACACTAATAAATTAAAGCAGAGACACTCTTTCCGAGTAAATTGCCAAGACAATTTCATTACAAGACAAAGGAGAGTCTTTGTCATGCACGCATCAATGACCCAAAAGTTTGGTCATAAATAATTTGACGAGATATAATATTTGATAATAAAAAACAATTTTTTTTAAAAAGTACTCCATCTACACACAAAAAAAAAAAGTAAAAAATAAAAAAAATCGAAAGGTGCCTATATGACTACAAAAGTCAATGTTAATCGGGGAAAGAAAACCATATGCAGAGTAAGAAGTTACCTGTAAAATGTTATTTATATCCTCCTCTATGCTCGACCATTATATTTTTATAAAGAAGACCACCAACTAAAAAACAAAAGAGAAAATAAATCACTTTTTTTTTCCTTCTTTTCTCCAATCCTCTATGTCCCTACCACTTGGCATCCACAAGAATAAGTATACATTTATAAATAAAAACAATCCCTGTTTATTAATAGTAGTAGTATAGTAATATTTTATAATGAAATGTAGAGGATGTATATATAGAAACAAACATATGTAGACAAAAGAGATTGTTTTCTCTAAAGAGGGGGTCCATGTTCAATCCCCCAAAGTTCATAACCACTACAAGGAAACTCCAAAATTATACTAAATTTAAAATATATATGAGGCAAAAGATGCCAAGGAAAACTAAAACTATTAAAACTGGAATATTAAAGAAAAAAAGAAAAAAAAAGATATATGATTTTGACATTTTTGTCCAATCATTTTTTAATATATCAATTTTGTTTGAGTAAGCTTTTTTTTTTTTTCTCATTTGGGTGGATGGGAGAATTGATTTTGGCAATGCGAAGCTTTTGCCTCAAATGCACACACAACACTTGTCTTTTCTCTTCTCTCACACTTATTTCCTCTTCTTTCTTTCTTTCTTTATACTTCACTCTAACGCCCATTGCCACATGTCTCCCTAGGGTTTTCACTTAGACCTTTGGATCTTTCTTTTTATGTTTTATCAGTTTTTTCTTTTTTCTTATACACAACTGTAGCAAATATAGATTAGACCAACCGCTTCGAGAGTTCGAAACAAGGATAAGTAAAACGGGTTTCTTAAAAAGATTTGTCTTTTGTAACCCAAATTTTGTTTTAATGCATGAACTAATAAAACAAGAGGAAGGTGAGAAATTACAACGACAAAAGACATCATGCTCTTTCTATTAATAGCATGAGAACACAAAAAGGTAGTATAAACATACAAATCCACACCAAGGGATAAGTTTCTTTTCACAACCTGTTGAAGACAAGTTAGTTGTCTTGTAATTTAACCCTCTGTACTCTAGAACCAATTAAAGTCTACCACATACTAGTACGCAAACAAAGTACCATGTCCCGGTTTAGCCCATAACCGGTAGATGCCGATATCCGAAATGGTCTTCCTTCAGGCGCAACCAGATCTCTCACAATAAGCCAGACTTATTATACTCCAGAGACCAAGGAACACAAACATACAAGAAACGCTACTGAACACTAAAATGTGAAAAACTGTACAAAAACCCCATCATAAACAGGCAAACTCTAATCTGCTTCTTCGATCTCTTTATGTATATGCCAGTAACATGACGAGACCGTGTTGTTGTTGCTAGGGAGTAAGAAGCAAAGGACTTGACCTGCAATGAGAATCCTCTATGGAGTGCACAAACTTATTCAACTCTTCCATAAGACAGTGAAAGTGATCATTGTTAGGCAAGAAGTAAAACCCAATGGTAGCTTGCTTCAAATACAAGAGATTGACCTCAAGACCAGTCTTCTTAAGCCCATCGACATAGGCCAATTGCCAATCCTGAACAAGATCTAAACCAGCAACGACGACAAGACTCTTGGGAAAGTTGACTCCTTTAAGGTTTTGACCTCTGGGGCCAAAGGGATTACACGCAGGATGATCTCTGTCTTCACCTTCAGGTAAGTAAGCCCTCCAATACCAGTCACGATCTTGTATAGTGACAAAGTATTTGCCGTCAAGGGTCTTCTCAGACTGAGTCCTGTCTTGTCCGCCAAACATTGGATGAAGAAGAATGTTACCCAACACTTGGAGTCCTTCTCTGGTCGCCCTCAGAGCAACATTGTGAGCTATGTTGCCTCCGGAGCTGTCGCCAGCCAAAAAAACATAAACACTGGAGTCTAGACCACTCTGAAGCCAGACTCTGGACTTGACCCACTTGAGGGCGTTCCATCCATCGTCGTAAGCGCAAGGGAAGCGGTGCTCGGGGGATCGGCGGTAATCAACAGAGACAACGACAACACGGCAGAGGGTGACAAGGCGTCGGCAGAAAGTGTCGTAGATGGCGCTGTTGGCGGAGGAGTGAGTGAAGCTGCCTCCGTGGAAGAAAACAAGAACAGGGACGATGTCAGTGGTGCTGAGAGGAAGGGTAAGGTTGACGGAGCCCGGGGGGAGGTGAAGAAAGAGAGAAGCAGGTTGGTAGATTCGGGTGAGGAGGTTGGTGGGGGAGTGGACGTGGTCGAAGGAGAAGACGCCGTCAACGGGGAAGGCGTTGGCAGGAACTTTACGGTCAAGAAACTCGGCGAGGTCACGGTTGAAGGAGCCGTCAGGACGACGGAGGACTTTGTAAGCAAGCTTGAAATTGGAAATGAGGACCCATGTGTTGAGTGGGACAATTCTCTACAGAGAAAAAAACATTAGAAGAAGAAGAAGAAGAAGATGATGGGACGTGTAAGATATTATTAAACAGTCTATTGCTTTCTCTTTTTTAAGAAAAAACAAAAATCCATCCGTACGGGTGGGTGAATCTACATACAGCATATGATCGATCTTCAATTTAAAAGGCAGTGGATTTCAATTAAGGAAGAAGAAGAGAGAGAGAGAGAGGGATGGGAAACAAGAAGCAAATCTAAAAAGAAGGAAGAAGGAAGAAGAAGAGAGAGAGAGGAAAGTACCTTGCATTCGTTAAGGTTGACTTCGTTTCCACCAGCCATAGTCACAACAAAACTTGAGAAAATCCAAAGCCAAAATTAGATTAAAAAAAAAAGAGCTTGTGGTGTTGTTGTTGTGGGTATCAACGGAAGGAGGAAGTCATTACCAATGATATAAAATAAATCAAAGGGATATCCCTGCAGACGATGATGATGATGAAGATATAAAGGAGAGGGATTTGAAAAGAAAGAAACCCAGAAAAGAAAATTGAGAGAGAGCTGTGGAGAAAAAAGAGAGAGAGAGAGGGGGGGGGCAAAGGAAGACCAAGTACAACAACAACAACAGAGAAACAATAGAGAGAGAGAGGAGATGATGATGGGCTCGTTCGAGAGAGAGAGAGAGAGAGAGAGAGTCAAAGGTGAGAGAGGTTGAAGATATTGCAAACCCAATGGGACGGTGAGAGTGAGAGAGAGAGAGAGAGAGAGGAGAGACCCATTTTTGGATTGGACTCCTTTTTTTCTTTACTGTTCACATCTCTGGGTCCCACCCTTCCTTTTTTCTCTTATTATAAATATTCAAAGGTTGGTTGTTTGTTTGTTTGGTTAAATTAACATTTGTCGACGATGAGGTAATTTCATTATTTATATCAGTCGGCTGATTTATAAAATCATATTGGAATAGAGTGAGAAAAAAAGGGAGGAGCCACGGTGTCATGTGAAGAGAGAGAGAGAGAGAGAAAAGGGTATTGGGGCACGCCAGTCCCTGACACGCTCTCTTCTCATAAGGGCTCCTTTTGACCACCCCCCCCCCCCCCCCCCCCACCTCCTCTCTTACCCCATTTTCTTTTTAACATTAACTTACCTCTTCTTCTTCACGTTTAATGGTGTCAAAACTTAACTACCTGTTCCTAATTTACATGTGATTACTTCTTTTTTTTTAATTTAATTATACGGTCCTATGACTTGTCACAACGGATTACTATGTATCAAATTGCAATTACCAGCAATTCACTAACTCGTTCCATGTGATGATGCATAAACAGTATTCACAATCCCATATTCGATCTAAAAGAAAGAAAAAAAAAAAGAGTTTAGCTCCAGGTGATAATATCAATTTATCATCCAATGATATATTAGGCAGCTTTCAACTACTCAAAAATATGTTTTGTTTTATATATATAATTGATGGGTTTGAGACTTGAGAGAGAGATAGAGAGGTTTTGTTTTTGGGTTAAGGTTAGGTTTGTGTTTTAAATGTGAATGGGAAATGGTAAAATCGAAAATTAGTTTAAAGTAAGGTGACAAATACATATACAGCGTGCGACCAACGCCATGGCATGTGGCGACAAAAGGGTTGTGTTGTTTTCTTTTCTTTTTATTTTATTTTATTTTATTTAAATATATTATTATTATTATTATTATTACAAATAAAAGGACCAGATTCCTAAATTACCCTTACTTAATAAAATTTACGAGCCTATTGGCTAAAACGTGTTCTATTTTGGGCCAATGACATCATCCCTTCCATTTCCTCTCTTTTCTTTCCTTTGCATATTCCCCCCCCTCCGTCCCGTTTTTTTTTTTTTTTTCATTTTCTTTCTATTTATTTACTTTAATACATCTAATATTTGTTTAGTTTCATTGTTTTCTTCTTCTTCTTCTTCTTCTATAAAACAAATAATTGTGTTCAAATAAAAAAAAATTGCTATTATTTTCTTTTACGTATTAACATATAATATATATGTGTGTGTAGTTTTGAAAAGTTGGAAAAACTCATAAATACGTACAACTTACTTCGTATGTCTTTTGTTTCTTTCTTAAAAACATTAATTGGGATCGATAAAGATGATTAAATATTTAACTAATTTAGTACTATGTTTAATCGTTTTCTATCTCATTTACTCTCATTGGTAATCAAGAAAGATTAATAAATATTATATAGTTTTTGGACCTATATAAAGTAACAAATGCAGTGTAATATTTTCACTATTATTGATTTTAAAATAAATAGAATATTTTCATATAATTTGAATCATATTTATATAAAATTAGGTATTACAAAGTTTAATTGTAAAACTTAAGTAATGTGTATCATGTTCTCACTTATTACAAAATAATTAATAATTTTAATATAAGTTCTAAACGTTGCATAATTATCAATTATTTTATATATTTATAATATTTAAACTTTTTAAAAGTTTTAATATTGATAATATATTAACCTTTAAAAAATTTCATTATTTATAGTATTTTAAAATTATTAAAAAGATTAAAAATTATAATATTTTGAAAATTTAATAAATTTTAAATTTTTAACGGTTTTATTATTTATAATGTTATACATTTTCAAATTTTAACTATTAAAATATTATGAATCTTTTAAAAAGTCTTAGTTTTCTCTAATTTAGAACCGGATTATACCAAAAAAAAATAAAATTATAGTTTGGATGCTTGCTAAACTTAGAACCTTCTTAAAAGTTTTAGTTTGCAATGTGTCATGTTTTGTTTGACTTGTCGTTTCAAATCTTTTTTTAGTGGAGAAAAAATATCGGCTGGAAAATGTGTCTTTTCTTTTTTTTTTTTTACTAAAACGGGCCCATTATGGGGAAGAATGTGGGAATGGGCTTGGGATTTTGTCGTCTTGTGTGCATCAGGAGAGCCGCGTGCCCATCACACGCCCGCCGGTAAAGTAAGTATGTAATTTATAGGACCCAAAGGTGTCTTCTATCCTCCTCCTTGGACCTGACTCAAATAATAGTTACTCCAGCAAATACCATCTCTTATGAACTGTGGGATTCAAATTCATTGCATTCGGACGTTCCCAGTAGATTGAACATACCCACAACATATTTTGATATATTATTACAACATGGTACTATTCACTACTATGAATTCAAGTGGTGATGATTTTGTATGTTTACGAGAGTTTTGCGGGTGTTTGTAAATTGACTTCTTACGAAATACTTTTCATATATACTCACCCAAATAAAATTAAACAAAAAATATATTCAAAGTTAGGGAAGGTCCTACTTTGATGGCTGCTGCGCTAACTCCAAAAGAGCCACAAAAAACATATATATATACAAAGAACCTTTTACCAAAAACCCCAAACGACGTTAAATTTATAAATAATAATAATACACAACGTTAAATTTATAAATAATAAGGAAATACACATATTTTGTTTGCTTTTTGCTAGTCTGTGTATCTTTCGGATTTGACAAATCACAACCATGAATCTCTCCCTGATGGGACCAAAACTGTACATCTCAGCCGTTGTTTTATCCCTTCTATTTATTTGTTTATTTTTGGTCAGAACAAACTCTCTTTAATTCTTTTTTTTTTTTCTCTTTACAGTAGTATTATTTACTTACCATTTTTTGTACAACTACTTTGAATGGGAAAATAAAATAAGCTGAGCAGATCAAGTGTATAAGACAAATCTAACAAAATAAAAGTAGGTCAAGCAGATTTAGCAGTTCAAATGCAGATCCTATATTAAAATTGAAGTGTTTAATCTGCTCTGCTTTATAGGAAAAAAACATGATCATAAAATATTTTTCCTTTTTGTCTACTTACTGAATTTTAACAGGCAAACTATAGTTATAAGTGATAATTATTTATTTTTATGAATAGTAAACAAAAAGCAGTTAATCTGTCATGTTATATTACTGCTATATTTACGGGTTAATTGGGACTTTAAAGACTCTAACGCTCTAATTTTTGTAAGCATACGTTATGTGGACCGACAATTTGATGATAGATATGAATTCCATACTTGTTTTTAGTTCTTCCACGTGTCTTTGTTTTGTGTGATTTTTTCTCACAAGATATTTTTAGCTTTTTTATTTGTATCTATCATTGTTTTACTTTTGTTAGTTTCTATTAGTTTCAACGTTCATACGTGTTTTTTTAGAGTTAGTCCCCATTGCTTTATAATCTTCGCCGCTACTGTGTTATTTTTTTGTTTACTACAAACAATTTTTTTTGATGAAAACTACAAACAGAATTTTTATGGATTGGGAACAAAAAATTATTTATATGAAAGAAAATTATATTATTTCATATATATGCCATATTATAAAAACTGAAAATACATCAAAATAAATAAATCTAATATATCTTCGGCATGTAAGTATTATTGACCAACTATCAAATCATTAAATCTTGTATAAGATAATGGTTGTGCTAGTTATTGTTGGTGTAAAATGATTTCTACGGTTCTACCATCAATAATAATATAATGTATTGTTACTAAATAATACATAGACACTTGCACAAAACAAACAACATTTCATTTTCATAGTTTTAGTCTTAAAGTTACATGATGACAAGATATTGTAAATGGTATAAAGAACAAAAATATTACTAAAGTAATCGATAAAATAAACAAAGAAAAAAAAAGGAGAATCAAAAGGAGAACACGCTAAGGTATATGATTCGCGATATATATGTAGAAATATGAGTATGAGGCTTTCTCAATTTTGTCGTCATCTATTTTGTCTTTTTGGAACGTATGCTCACATTTTCCATTCTTTTGCTTTTCCAAATTTGATTATTATAAATAAATACTTTCACTCATTGCCAAAAAAAAATAATAGTAAATACTTTCCACTCATTAATTATTTTCTTCCACTATCGTTTTTGGGAATGGAATATCGAACTCTGTTGAAACATTAAACTAGGAAACTTCAAGATTTGTCCAAGTATATATGTTCTTCGTAATTCATCAACCAATAGAGAGTTACTACGATACAATAGAGTCTCTTCAATGTTTCTTTTGTGAGTTGGTCAAGTATGTCGAAATATCTCATAAGTTTTTGTAAGCATGATAATTAATTATATATGAAAATAGGTTTCTTGATCCCCCTTAATAATAATTAGAAAAAAGTGACACGGACAACTAATGTGTTTGAACTTTGAACGAGCTTTAACGCAAATCTTCCCCACTACGAGACTTTCATTTTTATACGTTTTCGGACAAAAGTGGAAGAAAACGACAAGAAGATTTTTGTTTGTTGTCCGCCCTCTTATTTTGTCATCTTATGTTATGAAAAGCAAAGCAACCGCAAGTCCAACATCGAAAGCTTGGGCTTTTAATATTGCATTCTTCATCTTATTTTTTGTTTTTTTGACAAATATTGTGACAACCTGGGGATGTAGCTCAAATGGTAGAGCGCTCGCTTTGCATGCGAGAGGCACGGGGTTCGATCCCCCGCATCTCCAACTCTTTTCACCACATATCTTCGAATGGAAGAAGAATAAGTCACACTAAAGCTTATTACAGTAGAGAATAATGCAACATAAAGTAAAAAACAACTTTTCTAAAACTTTCTCCTATAATTTTTCAGTTTATTTTGGGAAATCAAAAGATAATTTAAAGAAAGAAGTAAAAGTGGTACACAAATCTGAAGGATAGAATATGGACACACAGACTTGTAAAACTAAGAAGTATTGGCCATGGAGTCGATGAGCAACTCATAACCCTCCGGGACAGGAGACTGAAGACGGACGCACTCAGCTAAGGCAGGGACGTCTGATGATACGTCCAGAAACTGGGCTACAAAGAGAAGCAGATGAAAATCAGAGATCCTCTTCACAAATGGAAGGCTTCTTGCTCGCTCCATATGTGTTTTCAAAGCTCGCATCGTTGTTTGAATGTTCCGGTTCTCTATCGGGAAGGTACACGACAGCGACCCCTAGCAATTAAGCAACCAAATGCACAATTATACATAAGAATAATCTAAATTTAGAACAACCTAAAGTACAAAATATTTGTGCTTCCTATCAACTTATTATACCTTCATCAACTAATACCAAAAACAAAAACCCCATGAATGTTCTAAACTGAGAACAGTCCAAAAACACTAGTGCTTCCTATCAACGGCAACTCAAGCTCTTGATTCATACCGAAAAGTGAGCAATACGAATCTCAGAAAGATAATAGTTAGTAATTTACCATCCTATCACTACTACTTGCTAAATCAGATGTCAAGTTTTAAATATTTCAAAAAGTATACTAGATATGAATGATAGGCTAAAAAGAGGAACCTGGTGATCCAAGATCTTGACGACAACGAGGAAGAAATCATTATCCACTTCTTTAAGATCCTTGACCCCAACAACAACCTCTTTCTTCATCTTGGAGAGCTTGGGATCATCCTCAGGTCCGATCTCCGTCTCAAACCATCCTTCCCTGAACAGCCTAACGCACATATCACTCATCTGAAAAGGCTCGAAGTGAACATCCGCACCACCATCCTCATTGATCTCAAGCTTCACAACAGCTGTAACCCACTCCTTCAATTCGCTCTCAGCGTGAAGCTGCGCGGCAAGCAACACCTCAAGGTTGGAGAAAGTGTACTCCTTCTTGTCCTGCGTCACGGTCTGGTTGAAGATGAAGCCAACTCTCCTCATCCCTAACCCTAAAGCAATGGCATCCACACGCTTCTCTTCTTCAGCATCTCTCATGAGAATCAGATTATCCTCCATGCCTTGCTGCGGAGGCTCGTAGATGAAGTTCACCTCAACCTGACCGTCCTCAGAGACGTTCCCGTACATGAATCCACCGCGTTTGATAGCGAAGGCCAGCGACTCGTTGACGTAATGCTGAAAGGCGTTGGCGCAATCGCGATCGAAGGAGACGGAATCGCAGTGAGATTTCTCCTGGCGACCGACGCGCATCTGACGGGCGATGAGATCCTCGACGGTCATCTTCCTCCCGAAGGAACCGGCAGGAGTGACGGCGGGGCCACCACGGATCGTACGCTCACCTTCGTAAGCAAGGTAGAGCATAGAGCCGTGGGAGAGATTGAGGGAGGAGATAGGGAGGTTAGGATCGGTCATGTCGGTGAAGGCAAGGAAATCAGAAGGGGTCTTCGCGAGGAGAAGGTTTCGATTGGTGGATAAGGTCTGGTTGTGGATAGGGATCTGAAGCTCATCTTGGATTAGGGTTTTGAGTTGGGAGACTGTAATATGAGGTCCATCTACACTCACTCTCTCCAATCCATCTCTGCTTCTGATTCTCAGCATCGTCATCTTCTTCCTTCCTAACAGATCAAACCACACAACACAAATACTGATTCCCCAACAAATCTGCTTCGACTTTTATACGAAACAAAACGAGCTTCGATTCGATTCGATTCGATCGATAGAACCAACAAAAGTTCTACTTACAAGCAAGTGCCTTTCTTCTTCCGATGGGAAACGAAAAGCTCTGAGATTCTCGAACAAGCTAACTTGGTAGTTCAAGGAAGAATCCAGACGATGATGGCCTCCAAAAACTACAAGGACGCGATGACTGCCCTGGCCAAAACGCCGACGTTTCATGGACCAATTTAACTTCTCCTTCTTTTTTCTTTTGCTTTACCCATTTACTCTTAAATGGGCTTTTCAAGTTAGCCCAATACGCTCGACGATAACCAATTTCTCTCTTGCTTTTCCTGTCTTTTAAAGTAAACTGGACCATTATCGTATTTATTAGTTGTATTAACGTCAGAAATTTGTTGACGACAAAGCAAAATAATTATATATAATTTTACTACCGGTCCGTAAGAATACAAATCAATGTTTTTCTTTTAATTTGGGTTATGAATTTTTATGAGATACTACTATATTTATCTAATCCGAAATAATATACACTACTAATAACTAGAATTTCTTGCTCATAAAACAGAAAAATACAATAGTATTAAGAAGCCAAACAAGCTTCCCAAAACATTCGGTTTTTTTCAATCTCACTAATCGACCTCTCGTCATTTCCCGTCGAAGATAAATCAACGGTCCGATTTTCACGGTCTCTCTTCTCCGGCGACCTCCCATAACTATTCACTTCACCGTCTCCATCATCGTGATCCTCATTCTCTCCGGCGACCTCAGCTTCTTCTTCTTCTTCTTCTTCTTCTTCTTCTTCTACCGGATCATGATCAGTTGACCTACTCGTCATTTGACTCCCGCACCTGCATGACTCAGCATCATCATCACTATGATCTTCATGACCTTTCAATACATCATCGCCTTCGAGGCCACGTTCTTGATGATGGTTCTCGGAATCTCCAGATGCTTCGAACAGCAAACACGGTGACACTTCAACGACGTTGTTCATTCTTGCAAAATAACAAAAACACAAGCACGCACAAGAAACGTAAGCAAATCTCTCTTTCTTTATATATATATATACATGAGAAGATGGTAAAGAGAATAGATAACGTTGCTCAATCAGATTTCTTGGCCGCTTTAATAAAGTTTAATAATATTTATAATATATTAAACCTAAAAGACAAAAGAGATTGTATGCAACTTATGTGGGATTCGGCTTCTAGAAGGTGTGCCTTTGTAATTTGAAAACAGTCAAATAAAGTTAGTATAATGTTTCAATTAATTTAATTAGAGAAACATAAACAAACAAATATCTTATTTATATGAAAACAGAAACTTTTAGTCCGGTTATCTTAGCAACTCGAATAGTAATTTCAGTTTTCGTTATATATATATTAATTAACTACTATATATTTCTCTAAAAGAAGAGACCAATATTAATATGGCACCAGCAATCTTTCGAAATTTAGGTTTTATTTTCATCACTCTTTGTAATTGTTCCAAGTCTTCTAGAAAGTGTGAGAGAGAGAGGCCAAACATCATTTACGTACGTCCAAGTGTCAAAAGACATGAGTATTAGCTTGTATAATGCTAGAATAATGTGGCACCATCTAATTCACACAGTCGATTCATTCATTAATTATTTTAATAATACAAACATACTTTACGTGCATGCACAACTTTCCAAATGTAACATTGTGAGCTTATACACAGAAACTTGGAGAGGAATTTTGATATGTTGTCCAATTATGCTCACAGATTAAATTTTTCTTCTGAACTCACTGGACATATACTGAATGGGCGGGCATATGATAATGGGCTTTTCACGAGGCCCGTGTTATAATAATCCACACGAAATTATTCTTGCATTACAAGATGATGATGATGACACAAAAGCTAGCTTTTAGGTGATAATAATAAGTGAAGTGGTATGATGAATCATATGATACAGTGATACTAGAATAGATGGGGATAATACGAGACGACGAGTGGTCCAACTTTACATGAAATTGAAATGGTCCAAAAAGGAAAGGCTGAGAAAAATTATATGGTGTGTCTCTTGGAGGACCACATTCCTCGATCACGCCATTTATTGAACCAAATCTATATATTATTACTTTCTCAGACAAATATATTTCCAAATTTAATGCTTTAAATAAAGCTTATAATTTCATTTTGTTTTCCAAACGAAATTGATAGCTCAGTAGCAGCAAAAGTTTTAATACTTAATAGTAAAAAGAAACATAAATAACATTCAAAAAAAAAAAAAAACATAAATAAATGGTCCCATAAAACTTTACAATAATGGCAAATGTTGTAATTGCTCTCCTCGTTATTAATCTTCCTAAGCATGCAATGGCAATATATATGGCTTATACGTATTTTCATGTATGTATACTCTTCATCTATCAATATAACAAGTGATCCATATGTTTTGTTTCTTCCCATATTTTCTTTAACTTAAAACCATTTGATAATTTATGAATTCGCTCCGAGATATTATTTTAGGATTTTTTTATAACTGTGAATGTGACATCGAAAATAAAATCTTAGTGCAATGGATTAGATAATAATTCAACATGTATACTGGTTGATAAATGTAGAATTAGATATCGAACCAACTTGACTTTATTAATGTATGAACTTGTGTATTTATATAAGAGACTTATCCTCTAAAATAAGCCCTAATCCTATACACTTTAGGGCTGCTAATCCTTATCACAATAAGAAGATAAACTTAACACAATATACGAACTTATCCACAATACTCCCCCTCACGTTGGAGTGTGAAGATCTTGAACGCCCAACTTGGACATAATGTAATAAAACTGATCTCGACCGAGAGCCTTTGTGAAAATATCGGCAAGTTGCTCCGTTGTACGAACATGTTGTGTAGAAATGATGCCGTCACGAACCGCATCACGAACAGCATGACAATCGTTCTCTATATGCTTAGTACGCTCATGGAAAACCGGATTTGCAGCAATATGAATTGCTGCTTTACTATCACAATACAAACGAGCTGGCGCAGCTTGGTCGATGCCTAATTCTGTTAACAACTTTCGAAGCCATTTTATTTCCTTAAGAGCATATGACATTGCCCGATACTCGGCTTCGGCGGAAGAATGAGAGACTGTATTCTGTTTCTTAGTTTTCCAAGAAATAGGTGAACCACCAAGTAAAACAACATAAGCGCTAAGAGAACGTCGAGTGAGCGGACAAGTACTCCAATCCGAGTCACAATAAACCTCTAACGTTAAATCTTTGGTAGAATGAAGTAATATCCCTTGACCACGACAACCTTGCAAATAACGAACCACACGCAACGCAGCATCCATATGAGCTTCTCTCGGAGATTGCATAAATTGTGATAACACATGAACAAAATATGACAGCTCCGGCCGGGTATGAAGAAGATATAACAATCGACCAACAAGACGACGATACTGCCGCGGTTCCTTAAGTAAAGGACCATCATCAGTGGCAAGATGATGATTTTGCTCTAAAGGAGTAGAAGCTGGTCGAGAACCATGATCACTACTATCCGTAATAATGTCGAGTGCATATTTACGTTGGGAGAGAAAAATGCCCTCAGGCCCACGACTCACCTCAATGCCAAGAAAATATTTGAGCTTCCCCAACTCTTTCATCGAGAAACAACGACTTAAGTAGTCCTTAAATTTCTGAACCATATAAGGTCATTACCACAAATGAGAAGATCGTCAACATAGATCAAAACCCGAAGATCAATGCCCTTCTTGGTGTAAGAGAACAAAGAGTAATCATCATAGGATTGAACAAAACCAAAACGTAATAGCGAGTCAGAAAGCTTTTTAAACCAACACCGAGGAGCCTGTTTCAAGCCATACAATGACTTTCGAAGACGACAAACTTTGTCTGGATGAGAATGACGAAATCCCGGTGGAGGTTTCATGTAGACCTCCTCAGTGAGATCACCATGAAGAAAGGCATTGTGAACATCCATTTGATAAACCTCCCATTGATTGGCAGCAATATGACGAAGAAAAGTACGAACCGTTGTCATACGAACAACCGGTGCAAAGGTCTCTTTGTAGTCCTCCCCCTCAACTTGTTTATTACCAAGGGCAACCAACTGTGCCTTGTAACGCTCCACAGTACCATCAGCATTGTATTTGGTCTTATAAATCCATTGACAACCAATAGCATGTTTGTTAGGTGGCAAATCAACCAAATCCCAAGTCTTATTAACCTCAAGAGCATCAACCTCCTTAGCCATGGCATCATTCCATTCTTTTACTCTAACAGCTTCCTTAAAATGCTTTGGCTCAATATTAGAAGTAATAGCTGCCATATAAACTCGATGACTAGAAGAAAAATGCTCATCAGAGACATAATCAGTGAAAGGAAACAGAGACGTACCGGGGACTGGTGCCGAAGACATTGATGAGGAGTCGGGAAGAGCGTGTGTAGAAGGTGGTGTGTATTTGACGTTGTAAAGAACATAATCACTTAAGCGAGCAGGAGGCTGCAACGAACGCTGAGTTTTGCGCTGTGTTGGTTGTGGTTGCGGAACAGTTTGTGCGACAGGCACAATAGAAGAGTTTAGGTCAGAACTGGAGTGTGTAGCCACCGATGGAGAGACTGGAGTGGGTGGTGCTAGGACAGTGGCTGGAGAGTGCGAGGCAGAGCCTGCATTTGTAGAATCCGGTGGTTGAGAGACAACCACAACACCACGGGAATCAATGGCTCTGTTTTCGTCACAAGCGTCGTCTCGATCTAGAGAAGAAACAGACTCTGAAGTATTAGTATCCGAACTCCCCCTGACTTGAGAAGACGGAAACAAACAGTCACTGTCGTCGGTGATCGCGGGTGAAGTGGTAACAGGCGGAGAAGAAGATGAAGTTGAGTAAGGAAATACGTCTTCTTGAAAGACAACATCCCAAGACACCAAAAACTCTTCACGTTCCATATCAAACACCTTCCAACCTTTTTTTCCATACGGGTAGCCGACAAAAACACAAAGACGACTCCGCTGTTCAAATTTGTCTTTATCACGAGTGAGACGATGTACATAACATGCGGAACCAAACACTCGAAGCTGCTCATAATCAGGTTTACTCTCATGAAGAATTTCATAAGGTGTGCGACCAGAATGAATCGAAGATGGAGTGCGATTGATCAAATATGCAGCAGTAAGTATAGCTTCTCCCCAAAACTTGATAGGCAAACTAGCCTGAAACAATAGTGCTCGAGCAACATTAAGGATATGACGATGCTTACGTTCGACACGTCCATTTTGCTGAGGAGTACCAACACATGAAGTTTGATGAATGATACCATTTGCACGAAAATGAGAGGAAAGACACATGAATTCTGTCCCGTTATCACTTCGAACTATCTTGATGGATTTGCCGAACTGTTTTTCCGCGTACTTCAAGAAATTTGTTAGAACACCTCGCACCTCTGATTTTTCAAGTAAAAGATAGGTACAAACAGCTCTTGAGTAGTCATCCACAATTGTTAAAAAATAAATTGCTCCACAAGAAGAAGGAATCCGATACGGACCCCAAACATCACAATGAATCATTGAAAAACAATCTGTGGTTTTATTAATACTTTCTGGAAAAACAGCTCGTGTTTGTTTAGCTTGAAAGCATATGTCACAAGAATTAGAACTAGGAGAAGAAGATGAACGAGAAAACCAAGGTAAAGCAGAAAGCACTGAAAAACTCGGATGTCCTAAATGTCGATGCCACAAAGCTTGGTCAGAGACAACATTGGCCACATGTATCTTGGCTGTAGCAACATCCGTAAGAAAATACACACCATCACGCTCTTCACCGCTTCCAATCAAAGTCTTCGAAAACCGGTCCTGTAAATAACAAAGAGTGTCAGTGAACAAGGCAAGACACTTTGTTTGTTTCAATATCTTTGAAACAGAAATCAATGTGCAGTTTAGAGAAGGCACAAAGAGAACATTAGTCAACTTGACTTTGTTGGAGAGTGGAAAAACCCCCATGCTTATTGCAAAAGCTTTACTACCATCAGCAAATCCAACAGGACTTGGTGGCA